CCGAAGAAATATAAGAAAATTCACCTTCGCAAATAGAGTGGTAGACGGTTGGAACAAGTTAAGTGAGAAGGTGGTGGAGGCCAAGACCGTCAGTAGTTTCAAAGCGTTATATGACAAAGAGTGCTGGGAAGATGGGACACCACGAGCGTAGCTCTCATCCTGTAACTACACTTAGGTAATTACACTTAGGTAATACACACACACACACACACACACACACACACACACACACACACACACACACACACACACACACACACACACACACACCATGAGCTTATTTATTTACATTTTTATATCAGAAACAGCACTTGTACCCCATGCCATACTCCTCTTCCAGCCACTTGCTTCCACTGCCATGATTATGTTTCTCTAATAACTTTGCCTTGTTATTCATGGTACTATCTACCTTGTGGGGTAAGAAAGTTCTCTGTAACCTTGGCCAGTATACCACTGCTATTCTCGCCAGATGACATGATTTTAACTCAAAAATACAAAATGTGACATAAACTCCCTTGTATAATATATAATACCATATCACTGCAATATTTTCAGTAATATTTACTGTACAGTACTCTAAAGGACCACGTAGGGTCCTGCAGTACAGTGATAAACAGCCAAAAGGTCCCAGATTCAGTTCTCATGGAAGGACGAAAGCATTTGGGCAATGTTTCCTTTCATCTGACGTGTCTGTTCACCTTGCGGTAAATAGATACCTGGGAGTTAGGCAGCTGTTGTGGGTTGCATCCTAGGGAAGGTCAGTAGTTGGTCGAGGAGAACCTTTATAAGACGAACTGGCTTCGTGTCTCCAACTATGGGAAACCATATGGTAAACCATAAGGTAAATTAATAGCCAAAAATGTTCTACAGTATGTGCTGGAAATGACATTATGAACTGATAACCCAGATTTTGCCATGTCTCTCTCTCTCTTGAGTTGAGTTGCAGAATTGTTTATAATGAATCAGAATTTTGGAGTAAAGGTCGGCGGATGGATTTTATCCATTGTTTTGAGAAATCCGTTATATGGAGTCAGGATGCTATGTGCTAGATGTGGATGCTGGCTTGCTCTTTTTACAGTAATGGCCGTTAAGCATTTAATTTTCCATTGTCTTCTGCTAGTTATAGTTACTTACAGGGGAGTGTGATCATACTGTATGCCAATTCTGCAACTTTTTGTCTTGTATCTGATGACATTGTTGAACCCTTTGCTAATCACATCCACCGTTAAATCCACAGTACCTGTATGAGTATTACAGGTAGATAATGTTTTCTTTTTAAGATATGCTTGGGAGATGAACAGGATCATCATCTGCAGGTTGGCATGAGTTAACTGGGAATATGGCATTATCAAAATAGTGTGACATCATGTGCACATGCTCTATACTCAGAGCTTGCCTTATATCTTAAATGGTACTGACTTAGGAAGATTTGTCTATACCTCCATGTAGAAAGGAAGGTTCATGCAGCAAGAGAGTGACATTGTCATTACGTGCAAGTATGATAGCTACATAGCAAAGTGTTCATTCCACCTGGATTCTACTGGGCATATACTGTATTTACCCAAGGGCCACTAACCCTAGTGGCCTTGACAAGGACAGGAAGCTGGCAACTTGTCAAAGGTCCCCCCCATTTGTCTTGATGATCTTTACTATGTCTATTTTAAAACTCAGCACAGTTTTGGCAGTTATGGCTTCTGCAGGGATGTCGGTTCCATAGGTTAATAACCCTGTGGGTGAAAAAGCATCTCCTGTTCTCAGACCTACATTGTGACTTGAAACCGTTGCTCCTTGTTTGTGTTACAACTGACTTGAAGAAAATATTTGGATCAACAACCTCTAACTTGTTCAGTATTTTAAAAGTTTTGATGAGATCCGCCCTGTCATGCCTGGTTTGCAGTGTTTATAGCCCTGTGGCCTTCAAGCGTTCCTGATATGAGAGATGACTTAGCTCTGGAATGACTTTTGTTGCCCGGTGTTGCACCTTCTCCAGAGCAGCTGATTTTCTGAGTGGCCGCATTTAGTGCCCATTTGTATAACTCATAATCAGTGATGTCCATCGTGGATTATTACATTCTCCAGAGGTTCCTCTTGGTTACCAATGCTCTTTTTACGACTCGTGTCATCCCTCTAGTTCCCTTTCTTGTTTGTCTTCTTTTCGGCACATATTTTTGAACGAGTTCCATGATGACCCTCTTGAAATTATACTATGCTGCTTCCGTGCCATGTTCACCCATCGGCTCCCTGTTCACCCATCAGCTCCATGGTCATCCTTCAGCTCCATGGTCATCCATCAGCTCCATGGTCATCCTGCAAACCAGAGATGGATTGCAGTTCCCCTCTCATTCCTTGAGTCACCTCGCTGGTAATCTAGGAATTCATCATCTTGGACCTTTATGTGGGTTTCTATATTCGTAGTCCATCTTTAAATATGGTGGTTGCATGAGGGGGGGTTAGCTTTTCACCCCACAAGAATTTGATCAGTCATACCCTCTTCTGTTGTTAGCACAAGATCTAGTATGCTGTTACCACGTGTGGGCTCTACCACATGCTGTGTGAGGACGGAGTCCTGCACAAGGTCCTGCACCCCCATTTGGATTACTGTATCCAAGCATGGAGGCCTCATTTCCAGGACACAGCTGCTTTGAAGGTGCAACACCGGGCAACAAAAGTCGTTCCAGAGCCAAGTCATCTCCTGTATCAGGGAGATAATGAATCAGATCTTTGATTCATTAAAACACTGATCTTGATAAAATAAAATAACAGAGAAATATACAGAGCAACAGAAAAAGAAAGAAAAAGTGATATGTGATGTGAGAAGTTTGTTAATTTAAATTCGTAGAATTCATAGATACTGTAGTACAGTATGTGATATATGTGATGGTCGGTGCATAATACAGTACAGTATATGTTATGGTCGGTGCGTAATACAGTACAGTATATATTATGGTCGGTGCGTAATACAGTACAGTATATGTTATGGTCGGTGCGTAATACAGTACAGTATATGTTATGGTCGGTGCGTAATACAGTACAGTATATGTTATGGTCGGTGCGTAATACAGTACAGTATATGTTATGGCCGGTGCGTAATACAGTACAGTATATATTATGATCGGTGCGTAATACAGTACAGTATATGTTATGATCGGTGCGTAATACAGTACAGTATATGTTATGATCGGTGCGTAATACAGCACAGCATATGTTATGGTCGGTGCGTAATACAGTACAGTATATGTTATGGTCGGTGCGTAATACAGTACAGTATATGTTATGGTCGGTGCGTAATACAGTACAGTATATGTTATGGTCGGTGCGTAATACAGTACAGTATATGTTATGGCCGGTGCGTAATACAGTACAGTATATGTTATGATCAGTGCGTAATACAGTACAGTATATGTTATGGTCGGTGCGTAATACAGTACAGTATATATTATGGTCGGTGCGTAATACAGTACAGTATATATTATGGTCGGTGCGTAATACAGTACAGTATATGTTATGGTTGGTGCGTAATACAGTACAGTATATGTTATGGTCGGTGCGTAATACAGTACAGTATATGTTATGGCCGGTGCGTAATACAGTACAGTATATGTTATGATCGGTGCGTAATACAGTACAGTATATGTTATGGTCGGTGCGTAATACAGTACAGTATATGTTATGGCCGGTGCGTAATACAGTACAGTATATGTTATGGTCGGTGCGTAATACAGTACAGTATATGTTATGATCGGTGCGTAATACAGTACAGTATATGTTATGATCGGTGCGTAATACAGTACAGTATATGTTATGGTCGGTGCGTAATACAGTACAGTATATGTTATGGCCGGTGCGTAATACAGTACAGTATATGTTATGGTCGGTGCGTAATACAGTACAGTATATGTTATGATCGGTGCGTGATAAAAGTATGCCGTTTGTGATGGTTGGCAATTAGTTCTGTATACGTACTCACCTAGTTGTATTCATGGAGTACGAGTTACAGCTCCTGGCTCCCACTTCTCGACCCTTAATAGAGTTTAGCTCCACCACTTCACCTCTTAACACATCTCATATTGTTCACTATCTTGACACACACAAAATACTTCAATTTTCATTGTGGCTCATGAATATTTTCTATGTGGTAATCATGTCTCCCCAGTTTCTTCTCTCTTCCGGTGGCATTTATGATATGTGATGGTCATTGTGTGATATGGTCTGATTTATGATAATTCAGCATACAGAGATGAGCCATAAAATTCAATTGAGGAATGATTATTAGTGAATTATTGCATTCTAAGGCCAAGAAAACTAGGATATAGTGTGCAAAAGAAGCATTTGTGAGTGAGAGCAAGTGAATGGAGATACAAATTTTGCATAACACCTCAACATATTATACTATACTGTACTGTATTGTGAATGAGTTTGAAGTACCAAGTGATAAATGTGAAGAATTATAATTAAAGATGGTCTTAGATACACTGGGTTATACACTACAGCAGATATCCTTAGTTTAGCATGTATGAATGGTTGGGCTATCCCTTTACGATGATACAGAAATAGCTATCAAATAAATTTAGTGCATTAATGAAGAAATAATGATAACAATACAGTGATATTTTATTTTTTATTTATTTATTTTTTTTTTTGAGATATATACAAGAGTTGTTACATTCTTGTAGAGCCACTAGTACGCGTAGCGTTTCGGGCAGGTCCCTGGAATACGATCCCCTGCCGCGAAGAATCGTAGTATTCATAAAATATTCATAAAATATGTTCTTATTCATAAAATATGAATAAGAACATAATACAGAGGTATACTTGAAGGTACAAGGGTTGTATATTAAGTAAAGCCATGAACACACAAACTGTTGCTCAGTACATTTGTCCGCCTTAACAGTTTACTTTCATTCAAGATGAAAAATGAGCTCTGTTATCATTGCACAAGTTGTGCAAGTATGAATCAAGTTTTGTATTAATTGTATAATCAAGACCGTTTCTTTTTTCAGTCATTTCAGGGAAGTCAAGGCCGGGCCTACCTTTTCAACTCTGTGTGAGTATCCTATTTATGCTTGCTACATTTTGAATTGGTATGAATGAATAAATGCACATTTTCAGTTTTTTACAAAATTGAAACACTATGAATTCATTTTACTGTATATATAACAATCTTTGTATTAAGTAATTTGATTGTTTCAAATTACTGTCCATGATTCCTACATGTTGCTTTGCATGTAGGATCTCTTCTTGGAAAAGGATGACCATTTGATAGTGAGATGTAACAAAAGGTTGACCAGACCACACACTAGAAGGTGAAGGGACGACGACGTTTCGGTCTGTCCTGGACCATTCTGAAGTCGACAATCGACTTGAGAATGGTCCAGGATGGACCGAAACGTCGTCGTCTCTTCACTTTCTAATGTTTGGTCTGGTCAACATACCTCAACATATTGTGACTCATCGCCTGCAACAAAAGGTTCATACCGTTTGGCCGTATTTGTCCCAATAACGTACTTTTTTTTTTTTTTTTAGATATTTTTTGTTTTGCTAGAATGGTTAAATGATGGCATCATGTAGTGTTGGTGTGATCTTGGTAGTCCTGATCTAGTATTATAATGCACAAAAATAAGGCTTTGAGTAAGTATATGAGGAGCCGGTCGGCTGAGCGGACAGCCCGCTGGACTTGTGATCCTGTGGTCCCGGGTTCGATCCCAGGCGCCGGCGAGAAACAATGGGCAGAGTTTCTTTCACCCTATACCCCTGTTACCTAGCAGTAAAATAGGTACCTGGGTGTTAGTCAGCTGTCACGGTCTGCTTCCTGGGGGGTGGAGACCTGGTCGAGGACAAGGATACCTCACAAATGACTTTTACATACTTCTTGAGATGATCTTGAGATGATTTCAGGGCTTTTAGTGTCCCCGCGGCCCGGTCCTCGACCAGGCCTCCACCCCCAGGAAGCAGCCCGTGACAGCTGACTAACACCCAGGTACCTATTTTACTGCTAGGTAACAGGGGCATAGGGTGAAAGAAACTCTGCCCATTGTTTCTCGCTGGCGCCTGGGATCGAACCCAAGACCACAGGATCACAAGTCCCGCGTGCTGTCCGCTTGGCCGACAAGGAAGACAGGACACCACGAGCGTAGCTCTCATACTCTAACTACACTTAGGTAATTACAAACACATAAAAATTATATTATCAGAATTATAGACCCATATCATTAACAAGCATGGTAGTCCATACACTAGAAACAATATTTAAAACCAAATGGGTTGAACACCTAAAGAGTAATGACATAATAACGAACAGACAATATAGTTTTCAAACAGGAAGATCCTGTGTAACATACTAACTCTACTTACACTATACACAGAAATCACAATAACATGATACATGAGGAAGTGAATTGAAGTAAGGGTGAAGAGGTAGAACAGCTTGTTGACAGAGCCCGGGTGCATGGGAGAATTGTGTAAAACCCTGGTTTGTGTCTCGGAAAGGCTGCAGGATCCGTGCGAGGGCAGTAGCACTCCCGGTTGCAATTCTTTTAACAATGTTGTGGCGCAATCGACTAAGACGCGTCTGGGATCACCTCGGAAGTAGGTTCGATCCCTCATTATGGCCTGTGTGGATTTGTTCATTAAATCAACTTAGTTTTTATGATAGAGCCACAGAGATACTACAGGAAAGAGATGGTTGGGTTGACTATGTCTCTCTGGACCTAAAAAGGTTTTTGACAGAGTCCTATACAAGAGGCTGTTCTGGAAACTGGAACATTCTGGAGGGGTGACAGGGAAAATTCTGACATGATTGAACATTTTTCTGACTGACAGACAGATGAGGGCAGTAATCAGAGACAATGTATCTGACTGGAGGAGTGTTACTAGCGGAGTACCACAGGGTTCAGTTATTGCACCAGTAATGTTCATCATCTACATCATTGATCTACCAGAAGGAGTACAGAATTATATGAACATATTTGTGGATGATGCTAAGATCCTGGGAAAGATAGGAGACATAGATGATTGTAATGCCCTTCAAATTGATCTAGATAAAATAACTGCTTGGAGCATCAAGGACAAATGGAATTCAATGTAAATAAAGGCCATGTTATGGAATGTGGATTCTGAGAAATTAGAGCACACACAACTTAAAAATTATGTGGAAAGGAATTACCGAACTCTAATAAAGAATGAGACCTAGGGGTGGTTTTATAAAATAGTAAGCTGTCACAAAAAGAACATTGTTGGAGAAGCATATGCATTGCTTTCCAACTTCAGACTTGCTTTTAAATATATATGGACGGTGAAATACTAAAGAAACTGTTCATGATACAGTAACTGATATAGTACTGCACAAATATTGTACATGTTCTGATCATAGAAAGATCACCTGTCTATAAAGGCCAGTTTTTGTCTCTTGGTGGTCTTTATATGCAGATTTTTACTGTATAGGATAGCACAGTATTTGATGTTTTTGTCTTTTGTGTGTGTACAGGGTGAATGTTGGGTGTGGCCCAGCGGAGGAGCGGGTGCTCTTAACAGGCCTTCATGCTGTTGCCGACATATACTGTGAATGCTGCAAGACAACACTGGGTTGGAAATATGTAAGTATAATCACTCCTCGATTTGTTTATAATGTACTCCTATGTGTTTGTAAAACATCCCCATCATTTTCTATTATAGTATTTGTTTTAAACCCCTAGTGGATTAGTTAATTAGATTTTTATTTACTTTAATGGTTTCCAATCTGTGTGCTTGTGAGCAGATGAAGAAAGATTTTCAGGTCAAAGCCGCTTCTTTCCCTCAGCTTAAGCTTATGTAATATTTCCAGAATATAATTCCCAATGTCGGGGACAAGAAGCCAATATCTTGGGGTTCCTAGGCCAACTACTGACCTTCCTCAGGATGCACTCCACAACAATGGGGCCGCTTCCTTGTACATATTTATTAATTGCTAGGTGAACAGATGCATCAGGTGAAAGAATGTACCCCACCATTTGTTTCCCACCTGGGGATTGATCCTTATTACCTCGATTGCGAGAGTAGAGCCCTGTGAGGAGACTTCGACTCGTGACTGGCGCTTCCATGAAAAGCTTGAGCAATACTGCAGGAGGGCACCACAAAACCGAACCCAAAAACCTGAAGTGGAAACTGACTATGCCGAGCACTGCAGCAAAAGGGTGCCCACCAAAATGCTGTATATTGTACAGTGCCTTCAGACACACCACCCAGAGGATAAGCTATGTAGTCAAAGATCAGGCTGTCAAATATGCAAGTGAGAATCTTGTGAGATGGGAAAACCAAGACCTTAGCACCAGTAAATGGTTGTTCAACTGCAAAGGGTCAACCACAATAGAACAGAAGGCTATCCTAGTATTCCTGACCAGTCTTGGTCAGGTCAGGTCAGGTCAGAACCTGAGAAGGCATCAACTAGGGCTTCTGCTAGTTGACCAGAATGCCGAAGCTGGCCAACTGGGTTACAAACATATCCCTGGCCTGCAGACAAATGGAATGAGGGAGGTGGACGAAAGCAGCCTGTTGTTAAGGTAAGCCAGAACTTTGATCCCCAGAAGACTTAAGATGTCAAAGGACCACACTAGTCAGTCAGGTTCAAACCAAATGACAAAGCCTAAAAGTGGTATAAGAGGTTTCCCATTCTTATCCCTAGCTCTCACGACCTTTCTGTAGGGTGCAGTCGCACCTCCACAGATCTCCAGTATCAGCTAATAATATTGGTAATGGCTCCAAAGGGCCCCACCACTTATGGGCTATTCATGCCCGTGCCACCTTTTGGGTGGCTTAATCTTCATCAATCTTATTATCCCTAGCTAATTTCTGAAGTCTAGGTGGTTGGGAATGTACCAAACAGCATTCAATAGATCCTCTGAAGTGAAACTTTAGGACCACCTGTTGAACCCGAGATAAGGAATACACTTGCTAAGAACAAACAGATCCAGATTAAAGATTCTCTTCAAATTACTATCCCTCACTTGGGGACTGGGAAGAAGCAGGATACCCTCAACAAGCCTGAATCACCATTTCCAGCAAATCAAGAAAGATGTTAAGTAGAGGAGTAGATGGCTGAGCAAATCCCCGAGACATCAGAAGGGAAGGACCTAGCCTACTGAAGACTGTGCAACACTACATGATATGCCAACAAAAAGATGAAAGAAAAGCCTATGAAATGAACCCTTTTGACCAGTAGCCCTCAGAGAAATTCAAGAATGCCTTTGTAACAAACTGCTCAAAACTGCACATCCTGGCTATCTTGAGGTTATCTTGAGATGATTTCGGGGCTTTTTAGTGTCCCCGCGGCCCGGTTCTCGACCAGACAACCACCCCCAGGAAGCAGCCCGTGACAGCTAACACCCAGGTACCTATTTACTGCTAGGTAACAGAGGCGTAGGGTGAAAGAAACTCTGCCCATTGTTTCTCGCTGGCGCCTGGGATCGAACCCAGGACCACAGGACAAGTCCAGCGTGCTGTCCACTCGGCCGACCGGCTCCTGGATCCTGGGCTAAAGGTGCAGTAGAATCCCTACCCCACCCAGGAGTCTGAGGAGCAGATGCTCTCACCAGAAGGGAGAGCAACTAAGTAGATTCATGGACAATTCTAAATGGTCAGCTGGCAGGTAAGAAGAGCTGCATCCTGAAGGAGGATGCAAACAGCTTTGGAATGGCATCAATGGTAGCAGTAGCAGGCAACGAGACAGAGGGAGAGGCTATCCCAGACAAGGACCCCAAATCAACTTGTAAACTGCTCAGAGAAGATTTCGTGCACTGCAGAGAATTGGAGAGCTTTTGCCAAGTGAGAGCAAGCCTTGAAATTCATTGTACTTAATGATGATGATGATGATAATAATAATAATAATTATAATTTATTTAGGAAAAGTACATACATAGTTGCAGAGTTACAGTACAAACATTCAGTTTGATTTAAAGATAGAGGTAGTACATACAATACCTAAAGCCACTAGTATGCATAGCGTTTCTGGCAAATGCTAAAATAAATGTATCAAACATGGACATGGTGCTGCCATGCTCTGACCTCATAGGGAAGGGTAGCAGCATACTGCGCACTGTTGCCAGCCACAAATAAAGAGCCAGGAGAAATGTCTGAAAATTAGAGCATGACGACCAAACCACATAACAGAAGATGGAGAAACGACATTGTTTCGTTCTGTCCTGCACCATTATCAAGTCGTGTGATAGAAGAGTTCGGGCAAGTAAATCGGAGCATCATATTATATCTTTCGTGCCATAACAACTCTACTGAGAACGTAAACAATCAGTACCCGAGGTGAAAGATAAGTCTTGTAACTGGGGAAGATTGGTCAGTAATGGGATAAGATAGATCAACATGTTTGGTAATGGAGAATAGTTGTTAAACTTAATACGTTAGATAATGATCTAATTAAAAGAATTAATTTTGTTACTAAAGAGTAGGTATGGACTATATATGTTGATATACTGGTTGTACTAATTTGAATTGGATTTTGAATTTATGAATGTACAGTATGTACATTTAGTAAATTATAAAGTATGTACTACAATAGGTTTTGTATGAATTACATTTATTAATATTAGGAGTGAAAATAAATACAAGCCTTAATAAACAGGAAGAATTCAATTTACAAATTTTCAAACTGCTGTACCGTGCATAGTGACATAATTGTGCGATCAAATGGAACGTTAAATTGTTGCCATGTTAACTTAGTTCATGTTTACAGGAACATGCCTTTGAATCGAGTCAGAAGTACAAGGAGGGTAAGTACATCATCGAGCTGGCACACATGATCAAAGATAATGGGTGGGACTGAGAGTGGGCCTCCTGCGGCCGCAGGAGCCTCGGTGTGCAGCTGTGATCTACTAATGACTGCCAGACCTTCACTCGTCATAAAACCAAGAATGTCCTCATCGAATATAAAGGATAACCCGTTGCTTACCTAGGATGGAAGTGGAAAGTGTAGTCTGGTCCCATTGATGATATCTGCTGCTTCCTTGTTAGTGTTAGGTTGACCAGCTGTGCACGACTTACTCTTGGGCAGTGATCTCAGCCAGTGTTGATGCCAGGGTGTGTTGCGCCAAGACATATTACACAAGAAAATTTATAGCTTCAAATTACAGAACAAGACTGCACTATAGTGATTATGGTGATACTCTTATGTGAATTGACTTGTCTGAATTTGACCATATTCATTTGTGTAAATAATGAATTTACTGGTCAAAATGATGAGCAAGTGTTAAGGGGAATTAAGCAGCACACCCTGAGAGCATCTGGCCATCATCACCAGCATCACAATCATCATAATTTCACATCATTTTTGACTGTCCCAGCCAGCCAGTCATCAGTCAGCCAGCTAGCTCTCGTCCAGTCTCATGGCCTGTCTGTGATGGGCTTTGCCCGTAAGCAAATTTCAATTTGTTGTGTAGTAAGTGTAAGACTAATCATCCCACCCAGCCATTTGCAAGCCAGTTAGACACATTCTTGTATTTTAAACTCACTCATGATAAGATTTTTTTGTTAATTATCTATTGTCTACCATCATTTGTTAAGGGACCATAGTGTGATGTGATCTGCTGCGGCACATCAGTAGAGAGAGTACAGCATTGCCCAGAGCTCATTCAAAACCGACTTAAATAGCTGTGTGTGTTTTTCATGTGTGAGTTTAAGATACATAATGGGATTAAAGTCACCTCAACCTTTTTATTATTATAGGAAAAGGATAGTTTATTATGAAAAAATACATTGTGTTAGCAAGAGCTGCATTATAAATGGTACTTGATGCTTAACCCCATATTTTTGAGCACATAACATAATCATATTTCTCATTTATCTCGTCCATATTGCATTTGCGCATGTCACGTGTGCAAGAAGTGATGATGGTGTTTACCCCCCACTGTGATTTTGTGCATCTCCGAGGCCTGGGCAGTGCAGGCAACCTGTGATGATGTGTCTTACTCAATGCCACACTGTGTGATTGGACAATATTTTTTAACTCGTTTTGACTTGTTCCATACTATGTAATATAATCCTAAGATTCAGTGTTCCCAACAACTGGACAAGGTAGATGATTTTGCTGCTTACATTTCCAGTGTATCATTATGCTAGTCTTGTAGATATGGCATTTGGTTATATTTGCACTTTTTATTGTTAACTTTAGTTGAGATTGAGTCGAGAATAAAATTCATATCTTCCTTGACAGTCGCAGATAATTATCTGCTTAAAGAACCCAATATATTCCAGGTAGCAGTCGAGAGTGGTATATATAATACAAGCAGAATATTAAACAGACATTTACTAATGTTTCCAAGTGAAAATCTTCTGAGAGACTTGACTGTGCATTATCTGATGTTCAGTTTTGCTTAAGGTAAATTTACAATTACAAATGACAAGGACACCAAAATGTTACAAGTATTTAATGCAAGAATGCTCTGGAGGGTATCAACCAGGTATCAACCAGGTATCAACCAGGTATCAACCAGGACAAGTCTGGAGGACATGTCAGCCGGCGCTGGAGGACGCAGAGGCTCTAGACCCGTGATGTAATACTCCCATAACATGTCACAAATAAATGTTTGTTGAGAAACATTTTGAAGCATCTCTTAAATATATCACATGTAACAATTATGTATATTATAAGTCCTTAAAATATATATAATTATATATTCTCTGATCCAGGGCCAATACACACTTATTCTGGATCTGCAAAGTGCTTGTAATACAGACAGTGCATATAATACAGACAGTGCATATAATACAGACAGTGCTTGTAATACAGACAGTGCCTGTAATACAGACAGTGCCTGTAATACAGACAGTGCCTGTAATACAGACAGTGCCTGTAATACAGACAGTGCCTGTAATACAGACAGTGCTTGTAATACAGACAGTGCCTGTAATACAGACAGTGCCTGTAATACAGACAGTGCCTGTAATACAGACAGTGCCTGTAATACAGACAGTGCCTGTAATACAGTGCTTGTAATACAGTGCTTGTAATACAGTACTTGTAATACAGTACTTGTAATACAGTGCTTGTAATACAGTGCTTGTAATACAGTGCTTGTAATACAGTGCTTGTAATACAGTACTTGTAATACAGTACTTGTAATACAGTACTTGTAATACAGTGCTTGTAATACAGTGCTTGTAATACAGTGCTTGTAATACAGTGCTTGTAATACAGTACTTGTAATACAGTACTTGTAATACAGTACTTGTAATACAGTACTTGTAATACAGTACTTGTAATACAGTACTTGTAATACAGTACTTGTAATACAGTACTTGTAATACAGTACTTGTAATACAGTACTTGTAATACAGTACTTGTAATACAGTGCTTGTAATACAAAAAGCACTTGTAAAATTTGTAAATTAGGCTTGCAAAATACTGTTGTTGTTTAGTATTTTATTGACTTTTCTATGTGCAAATCACTGGTCTTAAAATTCCTTATATTCACAAGTTATTTAGGAAGCATTCTGTAGATTAGTCCGGTATACTCTACTGTTACTCTTTCATCAGTACGTGAACTGTTCCATGTTTATGACGCCAATTGTTATATATTTTTTTCCAAGTGTTTGTATGTTTAGACACAAAATGTACACCATCTCTATAAATGAAAGAATCTTAAGATAATGTTCCTCTTATGAGTACATAAATATGGTTATTTGTGTGTGCAATTTTAGTTAAGTGATTATATATGGTGAATTTGACGAGCATGTTATTTGTTCTGTAATAACACTATCTTGTTGATATTTGTTATTGATGGTGGACACACGCACTTGATCTGTGACAACGCCATGATATATATATACGGCTGCTGGGCAAAATAGAAATCTACTCTCAACTCAATCTCAATTCAAAGTCAGCTGAAAAAATGTAAGCTTTATCTCTATAAGATGGAAACACAAAAATTATACAATACATCATTTCAGTGCGTGTTGGGATTTGTATTACTGTATTTGCATACCAATGAAATCTTAGCAGTTTTTCAATCTTAAAATTCTTTCTTTAGAGCTGAGAGAAAGTTACCCATGTCAACATGATGGTAGTTGTAACCTTTGTGGGAGTAAGACACCTTAATGATGTCAGCATTATAGCTGTGGCCAATATTTTTACTGTAAAAGTTTGTCAAGTGCTTATTTTTGGCCAGCGTGCAACTCGCAAAAGTTTGGGATATAGTATTGGGGTTCCAAGACAAGATAGTTATTGTTATTTGCAGTATGGTAGGTAACATCATCTTGCTTTGAACACACACAGTACCTCATGGAAGTCATCAAAGGAATATCTTATGGAACATCTTTCAAATTTCTTAAGTCTGCTTGGCTGCTTTCTGGCTTGGTGGTGGAACACTGAAAAATAGCTTTAATCATGTGTAGTTAAGATTCAACCAAGTACCTATTGGCTAGCCTTATCACATTCGTTAATTGATATTAATCAGTTGGTGTAGCATGTCAGTGTGTATTGCCATAAAAGTTTGGCATAGAACTCCACACTTAGTTGTGTGATCGAGTTGGTAGTCCCTGCTACTCTTTTTTAAGGTGTATTACATACGAAAAGAACTGTTCATTAGGGGAACAGTTGGTCTGGATTGTGCAATTAATTAAAAGGATACTGGGATACTGGTCACTTCATGTGGGGGTTTACAACTCGTCTCGGGCTGATCTCCACGCTCGGGTAGAGAAGCGCCCTTCAATTAGTCCCTTTCTTTTATTTTGTCTTCAAATACAAAAATAGTACCATGATATGACTTGAGATAAAATCTAATTTTATTACCAAAGTAATATACCTTCAGTTTCTTTCATGTTGCTTGTGTATATAACTGGCAGCTATAGGCCTACTTTTGCCGCCTCTTACTGTTGTTCCCAGTCTTGGCTGAACATGGTAACCCGGTAATATTCTCCTGCCTATATCCAGATGGCCTTTGTGATAACTTTTACTTTGTTAGTTTCTCTGCATTATCCAAAAAACTTTATACTTAATTTAGCCATCTTCTTGAGATCTTGAGATGATTTCTGGGTTTTAGTGTCCCCGCGGCCCGGTCCTCGACCAGGCCATTGGGAATAATGAATGTTGATTGTCGCTCTTTCGTTCCTAAATTTTGTGATGCCTTGTGTTTTGTCTTGTTTATATTTTTCCCACCTCAGTGATGTTTGTGACTTACTTTTCTGGACTTCTTTTTTTTAATTCTATACAAGTAGGTTTATATTCTTGTACTTGCTTAATTAGCAAGTTGCAATATGTTCTAAAATAACCCGTCGGTAATTCCTCCTCTACTGTCTTGCTTTGCCGGTTATTCTCTTGCTTCCGCAACCAGCACAAGTTCTTTCAGTATGTACTAACCTCGGTACATACACACACTGGCATATTCTGACCTTAGTATACTTGTATACTTCAGTGTACACTGACATCAATACATACACCAGAGTAAGTAACTGACCTCAGTGCATGCAAATTTTAATCTGTACCGACCTTGGTAAATACTACATTTAGCATGTACTGACCTCGGTACCAAATCAATTTCAGTGTGTATCGACTCGATACATACACAGTTCATATGTACTGACATCAGTACATACACAGTTCCACATTTTAGTAAATGTATGCAAATGGTCATAATTGTGTGAAGAGATATTTACTAAAGAGAGATCCCCCACAAGGTGGTCCTATATTTTTACATGGCATTCTAGTCTTTCATTCTAACCAATAGTTGAGAAGTGTGCATGTCTTTTGTCTTGTGTTATATTACAGTACTGGCTGTTTGTATCACGGTTCATGGGGGTATATTAAAGTGGATGGCGAGAGGCAAATGCATCATATATATATATAATATATATACAGTATATAATACATATATATATTACAGTATATATAATATATATATATACTGCATATATACTGTGATAATGTTGAGATTTGTTTGGTCATGTTATTAATTAGGACATAGTTATTGCCGGGTGATAATAATATCGCGTGCAGGTTTAGGGCTCGTGTACTATGGGGAAAACACCTCGTATATTGAATATCTAAGTGTGAACAATATCAATATTACCTGTATTGGGAGTTATCAGCACTGTTAACCAGTTCTAGGTCCATCGGGTTTCTTTTGCCTTTCGTCATAACAATAACCACTGACTGTGCGGGACACCTTGGCTGTTGTAGTGCTTTTGTGATTGATATTATCTTAGAGGAGCTTGGAAACATTCACATAGGTTAGTTTCCTTTCAATGTTGTATTTCATAGCAACCATCATGACACTGGTAACTGCTTTTATTTTATATTATCCATAGACAGATTACTTCCTATGGAAAGAGTATTTGTAACATATGCTGCTTACATATACAGACGTATGGGACTAATGTTTCGGCAATATTTTCCTTTTTTTTTTTTTTTTTAATGCTTGCTTTCAGTCCCTTTAGGTAAATAGTTTTCTCTCGGTATATATTGACTGGTTGCTATGTTCATGTTGTTGAGAAATGGAACACAAGTATTTAGGACCACAGTACATTTATATTCTGTCCAAAGTGAGAGGGGTCCATATACAATGTTTGTCACTTTTATACGTAGCCAGTTAATCTTCAGTGATGCAGATAGGCTTCATTTACTCATTATGCATAACATGCTCATGTAATATCTTTTTAAGAGGTGTATCTTGCAAATTGCAATTTTTTTTCCCCCCATTTTACACATTGTAATAGAAGATGCATGGCATGAAGAGCATCTCGAATTTGTACCGCTTTATTCTGCCGGTACAGACTTATTCCCCCTCCCACGCAGTTACTTTGTACTGTTTCTTAGAGCAGAGATGGTCATGTATTGTTCAAAAACCTGTATTTATATTTAGTTCCATCTGGTGGAAATTTAAATCAAAACCTCCAATGTTGCCTTGATGGAAGGGCCCATAGGACCTTCAGCACAGTGTTTGCTGTGGAGTGATTGCTGGGGATATATTGACCCATTTCAAGGGTGTTGTGACCTCAGCGTCCACATGCTTCTTTGTTCCTGCTTCTTGTCTTGGTGACTTTTAACGATGAGTTTTGTAACGGCATAGAACAGAATTATTGCCCACCTTTGCTCATAGCTCATAAGGTATTAGTGTCAATGATGGTGTATTTGGTGATTTACAGTACTGTATCAGTGTAGTTATTTCATATGTATATAGATCATTTTTTACAACCAGGAACGACATACTTTGTTTGGAAACATTTTTATTTCCAACATGTGGAAGAATCATATGGGATTAGATCAGTAAGTACTAAAACTATGAAAACTGTAAAGGTTCAGCATTTGTACATAGTAACAAAAGGACTGAATTTTATTCAAACTCTTATGATTGGTAATTACTGGTCCTCTCAAATTGTATTGTGTAGCATTGTAGAGCTTGCTGTTTTCAGTAAATCTGGATTAACAAGTACAGTAGTAGGATTTGATTCAGAGACTTTCCACAAAGGACTTTCTTTTGAATTACAAATAATAAGTTATACTCATTAACATATCGACATGAAATTATTATAAAAACAATCCAGATTTGCTTTGCTGTACATAGTATTTATTCACAGGAAGCTTACACTAGTAGCTGCCACCGATGTAGAGTGTTATATTTATCTTGTTTTTGATTAGTTCAACCAAATTATTGTTTAAAGGAAATAGTATAAATACTATTACTGACAAAGAAATAATGTTAAATATGGAACAGTTATACATTACAGTATTACTTAATAAAGCATTTATTCAGAAAGATGTGCCATGACAGATGCCGATGTTTCGTGCGTACAGTTCAAGACTCCGATTCACGTACTGTATGCTGTACTGGCGGACAGGGATGGTCGTACTTACCGTCCACCATGGTGTGCGTAGAAAAAATTAGCAAAATGCAGTGCAACATATGATAAACAAAAATAGTTTATGCAAATGATAATCATGGAATGAAGCGAACGTTTCATACAGTACTTGAATTATTCCAAACTGTACATAAGGTATGTTTTTTTGGTTTCAAACATGTTTCTCATGTTTGATAGTACAGTATATTTGTCAGTAATATTATTATTTGCAGATAAATATTATACTCTACATAACTAGCAGCAACATTTTTGGTACGTGAGTGTCTCACATAAAAAGCTGCTAAATGTGACTTTACACAATAAACATTTACCAATATGTTTAGTATATCTTTATTTCACATTACAGAACTGCCAGGCTGGCTGGATTTCCTTCCTAGCAAATATTCACCGAAATTTAAGGTTGAACCTTAAGTTGGATTTGAGCTTCGTTATTTCAGAGAGCAGAAAGCTAGCATGAACGGAGCCAAGTCCAAGTGGGAGACCATTGCAGGCAGTGTGTCTTGAACCTCATGCCCTCAGACTTTTGTTATTTACAATATCATATATTGATTAGACAGGATTGAACAGCAACATTTGTAAATTTGCCGTCGATACTAAAATAGGGAAAGAAAAATTTGGTAGACAATTGCTACAAGACCCTTGACAGGATTTCAAAATTGACAAAAGATTAGCAGATTCAGTTTAGGGCCAGGAACCTACATTTTCTGTATTAAAGTAATTATAATATTTACAAGATATCAATTGGACTATGTTGAAATTCTGAAGTCTGAATGTAAAACAAAACAAAAATATACAACAGTAGGAATTTTGAGCCAAAAAATTAATGCATAAATGTACAGTATGAAAAATGATACTACTGTATAATTAAATAAATGTTTATTTAGGTAAGGTACATACAAGAAATTTTTACAAAGATTGGTGGACTTATAGATAGAGCTAGTACATACAATGCCTAAAGCCACTATTACGCAAAGCGTTTTCGGGCATGAGAATTGCCAATTAATTTCATAACATTGGCAACATTGTTATTCTCCAGCTTCATCTTGCCTGTTGGGCGGCATTTGTATCATGCAGTTCATTTTGGTCTCCAGACTATAGAATGGTTAAATATATCAAACCAAATTGAACTTAAAACAATTTATATATATCAGAGATCAAAGACCTGGGTAAACAGTGTTGGAAATGAGCTTCACAGCAGGCATTACCACTTGGGGTGGACGGTAGAGCGACGGTCTAGCTTCATGCAGGTCGGCGTTCAATCCCCGACCGTCCAAGTGGTTGGCCACCATTCCTTTCCCCCCGTCCCATCCCAAATCCTTATCCTGACCCCTTCCAAGTGCTATATAGTAGTTATTGGCTTGGCACTTTCTCCTGATAATTCCCTCCACGGCAGGCAAACAGAAGTTGCACAGTCTGCAGAGAAACTGGAGGCTGACCAGCTGAGGCTTAGTTTCCAGTTAAATAATAGCAAATCTGCTATTAAAATACTGGCCTCAGACAACATTCAAAGATTTAATTTATACTTAGCACTCGGGTCTCTTAAGTCACTGCACATTGTCTCAAGTGTACTATATATTATTTATGTAACTCCAATCTTTTCCTAGAAGGTTGTAACAGAACTCATGGGCATCACACCAGAAAAATACCCATTTGATATTCCAAGAGTGCGACTTAACCAAACTAGAAATGCTTTACACATCAAGGGACCGAGAATGTGGAATGACCTTCCCACTCGTGTCAAAGGCTGTACCTCTCTCAACCATTTTAAGATAAAAACTAAGTGCTGCCTAATAAACTCCATGTAACCTTCCTTACCCTTTATATGTCAACCCACGTGTTATTTTCAAATATGATTGACCATCTTTAACTGTTGATATCTGCCATTTATAAGCTTAACTAAATGAACATTACATATTTCTTTAAAATTACTTCTGTGTTCCAGCCATCATTTAATTATTCCATTTTTTCCAATTTATGCTTTTGGTCTCAATTAGTATAAGTTTGTCTGGGTTATTTCTGTTCTTCCTAACACACCTTGCCCGAAACACTGTGCTTATTTGTTGCTTCAGGCATTTTATGTACTAGATTTATCTAGAAGTCTTGGCAGGTCCTCCTTAAGGTATCCATCTTATATGGACCGGGGCCGTGGCTGAGTGAACAGCGCTTGGGACTTGTAATTTTAAGGACCGGGGATCGATCCCCGGCCATGGTGGAAATAAATGGGCAGAGTTTTGTTCACTCTGTGACCTAGCAGTAAATAGGTACCTGTACCTGGGAGTTAACCATCTGTTATGGGCTGCTTCCTGGGAGGGGGGGAATTGATTGATTGACAGTTACGAGGCAGGTCGAAAGAGCAGAGCTCAACCCCCACAAGGACAACTTTGTGAATACCTGTGTCATCATCATCCTCCCCTCTGTCTTTTGGTCCATGTCCTGTCCTCATGATCACAGCTAATATCTATACCTGAGATTCCTTTTCAACTGTAACACTTGACAATATTGCAACCAATGTCCAGCTTCTGATCAAAAGTGTAATCCCATTCACTCTCTAAGAACCAATGCTTGTTACTCAACCCTGGTCACTTCTGTGTACATTTTCAGCATCACTTTCTCCTTGTAATGGTTCTCCTAGCTCCATTCCTTTCAATCCCAGGTGCAACCTGTTTTCGGTATACCATAGTACTTATGTCACATAATGCTCAGTTCCTATGCTGCTAATGTTCATAGTTTTCCTGTGGTAGATTGAACTGGCTCGACTTGTCTCCAGTTCCTAGCTCAAGATTTCCGCATCCTCGCCCTTGTCTTCAACCCCTTGCTTGCCTGCTCTAGGGCCTTGAAACGCTGAGCACAGAGAACAGGACGGAGACCTTGTGGGACTGAGCACAGAGGACAGGACGGAGACCTTGTGGGACTGAGCACAGATAACAGGACGGAGACCTTGTGGGACTGAGCACAGAGGACAGGATAGAGACCTTGTGGGACTGAGCACAGAGGACAGGACGGAGACCTTGTGGGACTGAGCACAGAGGACAGGACGGTGACCTTGTGGGACTGAGCACAGTGGACAGGACGGTGACCTTGTGGGACTGAGCACAGAGGACAGGATAGAGACCTTGTGGGACTGAGCACAGAGGACAGGACGGAGACCTTGTGGGACTGAGCACAGAGGACAGGATAGAGACCTTGTGGGACTGAGCACAGAGGACAGGATAGAGACCTTGTGGGACTGAGCACAGAGGACAGGATAGAGACCTTGTGGGACTGAGCACAGTGGACAGGACGGAGACCTTGTGGGACTGAGCACAGAGGACAGGACGGAGACCTTGTGGGACTGAGCACAGAGGACAGGACGGTGACCTTGTGGGACTGAGCACAGTGGACAGGACGGAGATCTTGTGGGACTGAGCACAGAGGACAGGACGGAGACCTTGTGGGACTGAGCACAGAGGACAGGACGGAGACCTTGTGGGACTGAGCACAGTGACCTTGTGGGACTGAGCACAGAGGACAGGACGGAGACCTTGTGGGACTGAGCACAGAGGACAGGACGGAGACCTTGTGGGACTGAGCATCGATTTAACGGCTGCTACCTACCTTACGTAAATTCCGGGGATCAATGACCCTACGGCCCGGTCTCTGTCCAGGTCTCCTGATTAGTCGTCTGATCCTTAAACTTCGATTAGTCGATTCAATGTTGAAATAGCGTCGATTTACCGTTGCAGTAGCGTCGTTTTACCGTTGCAGTAGCGTCGTTTTACCGTTGCAATAGCGTCGATTTAACGTTGCAATAGCGTCGATTTAACGTTGCAGTAGCGTCGTTTTACCGTTGCAATAGCGTCGTTTTACCGTTGCAATAGCGTTGATTTAACGTTGCAATAGCGTCGATTTAATGTCTGCTACCTACGTTACGTAGCTTCCGTGGATCAATGGCACCCGCGGCCCGGTCTCCGTGGATCAATGGCACCCGCGGCCCGGTCTCCGTGGATCAATGGCACCCGCGGCCCGGTCTCCGTGGATCAATGGCACCCGCGGCCCGGTCTCCGTGGATCAATGGCACCCGCGGCCCGGTCTCCGTGGATCAATGGCACCCGCGGCCCGGTCTCCGTGGATCAATGGCACCCGCGGCCCGGTCTCCGTGGATCAATGGCACCCGCGGCCCGGTCTCCGTGGATCAATGGCACCCGCGGCCCGGTCTCCGTGGATCAATGGCACCCGCGGCCCGGTCTCCGTGGATCAATGACCCCCACGGCCCGGTCTCCATCCAGGCCTCTCGGTTGGTCGTCTGTCCATAAACTTTCAAAATTCATGGATCAGACGACCAACTGGGAGACCGGGCCCCGGGTGCCATTGATCCACGGAGACCGGGCCCCGGGTGCCATTGATCCACGGAGACCGGGCCCCGGGTGCCATTGATCCACGGAGACCGGGCCCCGGGTGCCATTGATCCACGGAGACCGGGCCCCGGGTGCCATTGATCCACGGAGACCGGGCCGCGGGTGCCATTGATCCACGGAGACCGGGCCGCGGGTGCCATTGATCCACGGAAGCTATGTAAGGTCGGTAGCAGACGTTAAATCGACGTTATTGCAACGTTAAATTTACGGAATCGACGGTATTGCAACGATAAATCGACGGTATTACAACGGTAAATCGACGCTATTGAAACGTTAAAGCGACGCAATTGCCACCATAAATCGATTGTACTGTAATATTGATCAATTTCAAATAGTCGATTTTACGTTGCAGTATCGTCGATTCAACGTTAATACCTTTGCTCTAACGTTGAATAAACCTTTGAAATTGCCTTCGTTTCATCCTTTCAATATTTTAGATTTAACGTAGAAATATCGTCGATTAAACATTGCAAAAGCGTCGATATAACGTTGAAATAGTGTTGATTTGACGTCTATTTAACCATGTCCATCGATGCAATAGCGTCGAGTATGTCTGATATCCAGCGGCCAGCGATATCTTCTAGGTATCCCAATATATCTTATTTTATATATAATGCAAAATATAATCTTTTACCTTGCCCGTCAAGCTCGGTCTACAATTATCCAAAGAAGAAACCAAATCTCTGCAGGTTGTATGAAATACAGTTTCAATCACTATGCCAAAGCATTTTATTTTATCTTTCAAGTGGTGCTGTAACATACAAACCACAAAGACAAGGTGATTAAACAATACGGGACAAACATCAGTCTTTTAATGTATATAACTGCCTTTGAGGATTTAGATATTTGTATATAACCGGGCTAATTAAATAATGCAATTATGTCAACGCTATACAACGAATTAAATGATTGTATTAATTTATAATTTAAATCATATCCCAGTACAATACCTTGCATAGAAAAACTCAAAATTCAAACACTTCTGCATACATCCAACTTGGGCGCATGCAAACAAAATTTATTGCAGGCAATGTTATTTCACTGGGTATTAGTATAGAAAATGGAATAGTGTAATTTAAATGTGACCTCTGGAAACCCACTATTAAATACCAGCCAATCTTAGAATAGACAAATCATGAAAATGGCTTTTTCTAAGTGACCCGCGTATGTTAGATATTGACAGGTGCTTGGCTTTTATTTAACTATGAGAGTAACAAGCCAAATTTGTTTTATTCTTTACTAACCAAAACGAAGTGAAAATAACATGTATAGTCTGAAATATGTCTGAAACTAGTATGAACATTTATAGCAATAAATCTTATGGTAGTATAAATATACAAACTTCGGAATGAGAAAACGGCCTTCAGAAATTATTAGATCTATTTCCACTAACCGTAACTTTGGCATCTAGCCTTAATACTTCGCGATGAGGACTTAAAAGTATAAAGTATCCTACTCAATCCCTGATCCATGTAGATTGTCTATTGTAGATATGCTACCATTACTGGCATGACCTGACAATTGTCATGCTGGCAAATGAAAGCCTAGGCACAAGAAAATGATTGACCCCTTTTATTTGAACAAAATGTTTGGAACATTGACAACTAAAGAAAACTCTGCAAGATAATTTGGCAGGATTTAATCTTCACTGTCACGTCCCGGTCTGAATATTTGGCCGTTTGTGTTTATTACCAAGATACAGCCTGGGATCATGTCTCATCTTCGCTCTTACTTCTGGCCCAGTGTAGGATTGTATACCACTTAGGGAGACCGCCTTAGCCATTTCCTCGCCTCTCAAAGGCACCGTTTCACTGCAACAGTGTGGCACAGTGACAATATCCAGCTGCAGCAGTCTGTGGCACAGTGACAATATCCAGCTGCAGCAACAGCCACGTGCAAGAACCAAGTGTGGAGCAGCAGCAGCACGTCCACCTCTCACCAAGCAGCAGACGCCACTGTTGTGCCTCTTGTCTCTGCCTTTTATATTTGTCTTAATTACCGGAGACGGTTGGCAACCTTCCCTGTGTTCATCTTCAGAGGTGACTGGAGAGGTCCAACATGATCTGTCGCAATGTTATAATTCTGCCAAACTCCAGTAACGCTGCAAACACATCATGCAGCTGACCTGTAAGTACAGAAATATATTAATTATGCGTCGAGCAAAACTGTAAACCATTGTACACACAAAGAGCTGCTTGTCCATATGAACTGGTGCAGCCCAACAACGACAAAAATTATGTTTTAGAGAAATTGGCCATTTAGTACATCTTAGTCCAGCAGGATGACCATATTTAAAGTTTAATGCACATGTATTTCAATAATTTATAAGTTAAACTAATAAAGTAAACTCACTTCTAGCGATAACGCTCTTTATCAAGTGTTCCTTATCCTTGTCTTCTATACTAACTAGCTGGAAGCCTCTGCCAAGAGAAGCAGTAACAGTTTGCTATCCCAGCTGTAGGCATTAGTATTCACTCGCCACGAGAAATGGTTTCTTACCAGCCCTAGTTTAATTCATCTAAAACTATTCTAAATTTACTAAAAGGTGACAATAATAGTTTCATTCTTTGTCTCTTCAACACAAGACCATGTTGAGGACAACCCTGCAGGTTGGGTACTCTAAGCACATTACTCTGATTAAAGTAACCAAATAAAAAACTTTTACTTACCATGTTACCAGGTGTTCCACAGGATGGAGTGTAGAGTTTGCTGTAGTCTTTAAGGCTGAGCCAAGCTGGGGCTGAGGGACCAAAGAACACCGCGGTACCTTAAATGTAGGAAGGAGTTGGAGGGACAAGGGTGCCGCTTGAAGATTGAACTGAAGTTATATGGAACTGGAAACTAGTTTCAAAATGGTTACTCTTGGGACAACTGTCTAGTCATTTTACCTGAAGGAGGACTTCTGGTACGGAGAGAAGAGACAACTAGTGCAGACAACTGGTTCTGCTCCTGAGTGAAGGAACACCAGTAAACCGTCTGGTGTGATGTAGTGGTCCCAGACTACACCCACACCAGTATTTAAACCATCAACATTCTGAAATTAGGAAAGTAATACCAATTTAAGACGGAGTGCATTTAGACTTGCCCCAGCGGCAAGAACATGGTTAATACGGCAAAGGTAAAAATTATATATTTAAGATTTACCATATTTTGTAATTAATGCTACACCTTTGTAGTAACCGTTTGACTTAAGTCATTTCACCTTTTAACACTAGTAAAAGCTTACGAACTGTCTACACTTTACAGAATATGTGACAACATTGTCCTTAAAAGAATCTGGACTACTTGCACGGCTTAAATGTTCATTAGTCAAGTTGAGGCAACACACTGTGGGGGGGAAGTGTCTGGAGACTAGCATATGAATGTTACTCAAGACGCGCTGGTCAACCTTCTGCATAACTCCCCTCCCCCCCTCCCCCCGGGACGCCGATAGTTGCACCATTAGGCACCGGTAGTTAACTATCGTTCAGTTGCAATGGTCAGGACGAATTTTTCGTTAAACCCTTACATAACTATTTACATAACTACACAAATTATGAACGATAGTCTACTGAAATACTACAAGGCAATTTTACAATATATACGATAATAATTCATATAATTAGTGTTTATGAACAAAATTAACACCAGGGATGGACATCCTAAAAAATTATGATACCCTAGTTCAGTGTAACAATTCTAGTTACAGATTACAAGAATTACATTACTAGGCTGCTAAATTTTAGTCATTACAATATTTCAAATTTAGTTTTTAATTTGTGGTTTCGAACTAGTATCCCTATTGTACACTTACAGAAATGTAATATATATAACCCAGTTTTTAAAGATCGCGGCGAGAGGTTAAGGGGGGGCAGCCTGTGGCATGATACAAGTGAGGTGGAGGAGCCTCACAGGACAGTTTGGGTCAGCTATAGTGACAGTTATGACCACTTAACCCAACCTTAACATTAGTCACGGCAAGTGTAGAATAGTGGCAGTTTCCTTATGACGGGTGGGAGACGCAACAATGGGGGGGGGGGTGACGCAACAATGGGGGGGGGGGTGACGCAACAAGGGAAGGGGGAGACGCAACAAGGGAAGGGGGAGACGCAACAAGGGAAGGGGGAGACGCAACAAGGGAAGGGGGAGGGGGTGACGCAACAAGGGGAGGGGGAGGGGGTGACGCAACAAGGGGAGGGGGAGGGGGTGACGCAACAAGGGGAGGGGGAGGGGGTGACGCAACAAGGGGAGGGGGAGGGGGTGACGCAACAAGGGGAGGGGGAGGGGGTGACGCAACAAGGGGAGGGGGAGGGGGTGACGCAACAAGGGGAGGGGGAGGGGGTGACGCAACAAGGGAAGGGGGAGGGGGTGACGCAACAAGGGAAGGGGGAGGATCCCACATACAACTCACCTCAAGAGACGAGTCTGGAACTGTGCACCAAAAGTGAGGTAAAACACACTGAAGTGCATTATGTCTCATCGTCACTTATATAACCAGCAGCCAACCACACTCGGCCGCTGATTGGTTGACATTCACCCTAAAACTCACCTCATTGGTTAACATTTTGCGAGTCTCAAGTGTCAATTAACAATGGCCAACAGCCACTCCTTCACTTCCCCAAACACGAATAAGTTCCTAATGAACCAATAAAATCTATTTCACAAACCAAATACAACAGTCTATTGTAAATGTTGCAACAGAACAACAGGAACAACAGAACAACAGAACAACAGGAACAACAGGAACAACAGAACAACATTTGTAATATAATCTACAGTGAAGTAATAATGGTCTGTCAGTCAAGAACTGTTAATGGCCGCTCAACAACTACAATATATGTAATAACATCTACATGGCCGCTACAATATATGTAATAACACCTACATGGCCGCTACAATACATGTAATAACATCTACATGGCCGCTACAATATATGTAATAACACCTACATGGCCGCTACAATATATGTAATAACACCTACATGGCCGCTACAATATATGTAATAACATCTACATGGCCGCTACAATACATGTAATAACACCTACATGGCCGCTACAATATATGTAATAACACCTACATGGCCGCTACAATATATGTAATAACAGCTACATGGCCGCTACAATATATGTAATAACATCTACATGGCCGCTACAATATATGTAATAACACCTACATGGCCGCTACAATATATGTAATAACAGCTACATGGCCGCTACAATATATGTAATAACATCTACATGGCCGCTACAATATATGTAATAACACCTACATGGCCGCTACAATATATGTAATAACATCTACATGGCCGCTACAATATATGTAATAACACCTACATGGCCGCTACAATATACAATATATGTAATAACAGCTACATGGCCGCTTAACAACTACAATATACATGTAATAACAGACCAACAAACCAACAAACCAAAGTTCCTGACACAACATTGGATGATGCCAAATATTTGCTTTCAATTGACTTAAGATATTGCTCGTTAATGACAAATTAAGTGACTTTAACTTATTGAAGTGTGAACATTTATGCTTTATAATAACTATTAACGTCCAGGATGACATTGTTCAGAATATTCCAATCAAATGTTTATTCCCGTAAAAATACAGACATACGAGATGAGTTACAAACATATTATCGGATTTCTAGATAGAGCTTGTACATACTAAAGCCACTAATACGCGTAGCGTTTCCAGCAAGGTGTGGGACACTTACACTAAACTTAATACTAAATGAGATCAAAACATAAATTGAGTTGAAAAACGGAAAAAAATGGTGGAAATCATGAGAGGTTTTCACTTGAGAGGATGTGTGTCCAGCGACTTAATATCTAACATATTCAATGATTTGAGTAAGGGTACCGAGTGCTGTCTGGGGCCAGAGTTTGTTATTGTTCTAATAGCAGCTTTGTGTTGAGTAATTAGAGGACGTAAATGATTTTGGGTAATAGAACCCCAAGCACAAATACCATAGTTGAGATAAGGATAGATGAGAGAGTAATAGAGAGTCACCAGGGCAGGGCGAGGTACATAATATCTGATCTTAGAAAGAATGCCAACAGTTATAAAGCCTTTTTTTGATATATTTAAAATGTGTCTCTGGAAATTTAACTTATTATCGATGAGGACACCAATGAATTTACCATCTACTTTGTTACTAATTTAAATATTATTTATTCTTGGATTAATTTGATCCGATTTATTACCAAACAAAATATAGAAAGTTTTGTCAATATAAAGGGCGAGTTTGTTAGGAGTTAGCCAAAGATGGACTTATTACCACCCACATCTATGTGGTAGTGGACCCCATACCAATCCTGTGGATGGCAGTGGACCCCCAAACCCATTCTATGAGCGGTTGTAAGCCCCACACATATCCTACAGGTGGTAGTGGACCCCTTACCCCATCCTGTAGGTGGTAGTGGACTCCATACCCACCCTATGGGCGGTAATGGACCCCATACCCATCCTGTGGGTGGTAGTGGACCCCATACCCATCCTGTAGGTGATAGTGGACTCTATACCCATCCTGTAGGTGGTAGTGGACTCTATACCCACCCCAACAGGTGGTAGTGGATCCCATACCTATCCTTTTGGGTGGTAGTGGACACTATCTATCCAGTTTGCAGTAGTATGCCCCAGATTTTCCAACGTCTCATTGTTTTCTGTTGACGTTCCAACAATTCATTCTCTTTATGGCCTTAAAGGACGAACTATTATATATAATGTTTAGCGAAAGCATCATTATCATATGTAATAATTTAGTGTTTATTATAATTTACTGGCATCAAAACGTCTCCTAAGTGATAACCTTTATCAGGAAGCACTGTAGAATAGTGGGTTAAATATTTTCTGGGAATATTGCGGCTCTCAGGCTGCTCAAAGGCAGTCAGCGATGGTAATCAATTCCCTCATTACAAGCAAATGATTTAGCTAAATTTGGAGCACTGTGCTCAGTTCCACGAGGTCTCCGTCCTGTCCTGTGCTCAGTCCCACGAGGTCTCCGTCCTGTCCTCTGTGCTCAGTCCCACAAGGTCTCCGTCCTGTCCACTGTGCTCAGTTCCACGAGGTCTCCGTCCTGTCCTCTGTACTCAGTCCCACAAGGTCTCCGTCTTGTCCTCTGTGCTCAGTCCCACAAGGTCTCCGTCCTGTCCTCTGTGCTCAGTCTCACAAGGTCTCCGTCCTGTCCTCTGTGCTCAGTCCCACAAGGTCTCCGTCCTGTCCTCTGTGCTCAGTCCCACAAGGTCTCCGTCCTGTCCTTTGTGCTCAGTCCCACAAGGTCTCCATCCTGTCCTGTGCTCAGTCCCACAAGGTCTCCGTCCTGTCCTCTGTGCTCAGTCCCACAAGGTTTCCGTCCTGTCCTCTGTGCTCAGTCCCACAAGGTCTCCGTCCTGTCCTCTGTGCTCAGTCCCACAAGGTTTCCGTCCTGTCCTCTGTGCTCAGTCCCACAAGGTTTCCGTCCTGCCCTCTGTGCTCAGTCCCACAAGGTTTCCGTCCTGTCCTGTGCTCAGTCCCACAAGGTTTCCATCCTGTCCTCTGTGCTCAGTCCCACAAGGTCGAATTACTGACCATTCCCAGGATGCACTTACTGTATAATAAATTTATTGCTTTGGCAATTAATATTTTTTTCACATTCAAGTACCAATCGACTCTAGGGTGGGGTGCAGAGTACATGTAGGGTACAGGGTGCACATGGAGGTAGAGTATCTGTGGGAGTTAGAGTACATGTGCTAGTAGTATTGAACCCAATACCCATATTGTGGGTGTAATGGTCCCTATTACCATCCCGTGGGCAGCGGGGGTTGAATTGAAGTGAAGTTTATTGAGCTATTCTCACCACGTGAGAACAACCTGTTCTCCCCCGTTATAGGGTCGTGGATCCCATAACCATCCTACATAGGGTATTGGTTCTCATTTCTAGTAGTACAGTCGGATTCGTTCTCGAAGCACAATCGAAAATTCTGGGTTCGAATCCCGGCGGGACAGGAATGGTTGGGCACTTTCACTTAACATCCAGCTTTTCCAGGATGCGCGCCTCTCCAAATACCCGCACGTCAAAACAGATTATGTCCAAAATAATAATCAAGACACGCAAAAATTCGGCGGGAAATGATTAGAAAGGAGATGGCGGAAAAATGAAAAAAAAGGCAATAGCTTCCAGCAAAATTAGTGAAGACAGCAGCAGGAGCAAAAGGCTTCAAAAAGACAGTCCTGTCCCACGGAGCATCACACCCCCAGCTGCCGCCCACCAAACCACCTCCCGACGGTAGCAGGCTGGAAAGGGAGGCTCTTAAAATTTGGTACCACATTAGCAACCTTCCACAATTGACCAGACCACACACTAGAAGGTGAAGGGACGACAACGTTTCAGTCCGTCCTGGACCATTCTCAAGTCGATTGCGAGAATCTCTCACAATCGACTGACAATGAATGTCACAATAGACTTGAGAATGGTCCAGGACGGACTGAAACGTTGTCGTCCCTTCACCTTCTAGTGTGTGGTCTTGTCAACATACTTTAGCCACGTTAGTGACTCCTCGTCTGCAACCTTCTATAACTCTTGACACACTGCCTGACTAATTACTTACTAAATATAGTAGAAAACAGCTCGCAAAGCTTTGCCTTCTTTAAACACCCTGGCAAACACTTCCCAGGCCCTGGGGATTTGTTTGGCTTAAATTTTACAATGTGTTAAATAACATCCTATTAATTACTAGTCCACCTGTCTTCCAAATATACATTTGTTCAGCTGAAAACATAACTTTAGTAAATATATAAAATATACTGTATTTAAAATACTACATCTATCAGTTTAAACACAACCTTTGTTGCATGTAACAAAAAAGAAAACATTTATTTTTACTTGCCCATAGACTATTGGCCCCTTTTAAGGTTTCAACAAAATATATCTAGAGCTGCTGCATCACGGCCTTTATTGGTGCTACCTAATGAGAAACTAAACACATTAGGAATACAAATGCTAAAATAATTCATCTTCTAGAGAGCACACTGCATCTATCACTCTGAAAGGTATAGGAAATTTTTATTTGTAATCATATTAGCCATCAAATCAACAGGTACATTTTAATGAGATTTCAGTGCTTTAATATTTACTATTATTTGTACTTTTAACTTACAGGTTCACACAGACATACTAATGCCACGGAACTCTACACAATACTCACGTGGACCCCATTAACAAGGACCAATGTAATTTAAGGAGCCATAATGTGATATATTCAAAGTAGTTAAATGTCAACCAACCTTTTCTTTTTACTAGTTGTATATGAAAAGGGATGCACCTGTTCCATGTTTCAGTCGGAGAATTTTATTTTTCCCCAACGAATTTTACACATTTTCAAATTCACAACCACGAGTTTCAAATTAAATTATCTCTGACACTCATCACATTAGGATTTTACTTAGGATTATCTAAAATATATTTAGTTTTACTAATACAAATAGATAGTTCCCCCAAAATTTATGCAAATATATAACGTTTAAAACTATAAACATAACCTAAAGAAAGTAACATTATTTGTAGAGAAACTACATATATGGTGTAAGTTTCATGTAAATTGAATAAAAAATTTAAGTGGAAACGCTTAATTTATTTTTATTGACAATAAATGAAGTCGAAGATTCTGCCACCTATCGGCCGAGGTTGACAATTTTTTTCCACAATTGGCACCCTTACACACAGGCACACATTCAATAAGGTCTCGAGATGATTTCGGGGCTTTAGTGTCCCCGCGGCCCGGTCCTCGACCAGGCCTCCACCCCCAGGAAGCAGTCCGTGACAGCTGACTAACACCCAGGTACCTATTTTACTGCTAGGTAACAGGGGCATAGGGTGAAAAACTCTGCCCATTGTTTCTCGCCGGCGCCCGGAATCGAACCCGGGACCACAGGATCACAAGTCCAGTGTGCTGTCCGCTCGGGGAGGTGTACAAGTTTCATGCAAATCACCAGAAAAAAATTGTGGGGGGATAAAACTATTTAAATACTTTATTATATGCTATTGATGGACACGATTTCAGTTGACACCTGTGTTTGGTGCCATTTTTTTGAACATTTTAGAATGTTTGACACTTCTTCCTTCCTATTCATGCTACTATGTATTGACTCGGAGCAGTTGAAGCACTATTCATATACAACTAGTCAAAGTTTGAAATCTAACCAGTTTTAATTTATTACATATTTCTGCATTATGCCCCCTTAAACTACATTGTTTTACCAGAATTTTAAAACAAATGCCCATCTGCATAGAGGAAAAATTATCCGACAATATAAACATCAGTGAAGTGTGTGTGGGGCTCACCGACAATCAAAACGGGCCTAAAATCATGTCAAGTGAAAACACTACATTTCTTTCAAAAAGATTTATTAAAGATATAGGTATGAAAATAATATGTTTGACAGGAAAAGGAAGAGTTCATTGCACTGGACAACCAAGGATCGTGTCCGTGCCAAATTGGTCCCAGCAGACTCTTACAGACAAGTGTTTAGGAATAACTCTCTAAAATACATTTAAAACAAATATGATAGACTTACATGCAATACAAAAATATTCCTAAATTCAAAATGCCATTTTCCATGAAGCAAATTTATGCTTTTTGAGAATTTCCTTGGTAACCAAGCATTGCCATACAATTTTATATAGGAACAAAAATATATGAAACAGCTTGGCAATTTATGTTCAGAGAAAATAAACCAAATGATTAGGGTGTTAAAATATTTTATCAATGAACACTAGAAGAGAATCACATCTTGGGCCTGCATTTTAACAGCAACCTGAATAGGCAACAAGGTAATAAATGCATTTAATCTACAAAAAAAATCAACTTAGAATGAGAAACCTCCATCGGGCATGTTTGTGGCCGACGTAAAGTCGTAAGTTTGTCCATTTGATGTGCTGCTGACACCATTAGTTTCTTCCTCGGCAAAGTAAGTCTCAATAATACTTAAAGCCTTTTTGTAGACCGTCTCGTTTTCATGGTTCTGAAGTTCTTCAATTTTGTCAAGTCCACCACACTCCTCTATCATCTGGCCAACACGATCTACTTCATTTAGTTTCTCTGCAGTCTGAAACACACACACATTTAACCAATTATTTTATCTAAATTACATCAAATAGCTCTAGCTCATTTCCATTATTGCGCTTCTAAAATAGTCAATGAATATTTTTAAATTAAATCCTACTGGCTGCAGGCTAGGCTCAGCAGTATGAACCTCTAAACCCTCTCCAGGTAAATCTTTCCTCTAAAAGTAATACAAATGTTTAAACTAAGACAATCTATACCCATTTTTAACCACCTGTTCCCCTTGACAGCTGACTAACACCCAGGTACCTATTTTACTGCTAGGTTACAGGGGCATAGGGTGAAAAACTGTCCATCGTTTCTCGCCGGTGCCCGAGATCGAACCCGGGACAACAGGATCACAAGCCCAGTGTGCCGTCCGCTCGGCCGACCGACTCCTAGCCTTCAACAAAGATCTAACACACTTTCCTTGTAATAAGTGGAATAAAACTTGTAGCACCGAGAAAGTACTTACTTGGAGGATGTTTGAGATGCCATCCAACACCACCATAACCGTCTTGGCATCCTTGGCGGTGAGAAGGTTGCAGAATGGATGAAGGACACCTTGGCTTACCAGCTCAATGATTTGTTCCATTGACCCTCCAGATGTAAAGTTTGTAACGGCCCAGGCAGCTTCCTTCTGAGCTTTGAAGTCTCCCTGAATAACAAAGGCAACTCTTACTATATATATTCTTACGTCTTAAAAGGGAAAAATCATTAATTCGCCAAATTCATAAGTTAATGTTTCTTCCGTATCCTCAGAATGTGAACATCAGTATATTAATCATCTAGTAATTAACTTTCCTATTGCTGCATTAGAGAAAAACTACAACCCAAGAGGAAATAAATTTGCTGCAAGCACTGTCCATTATACATTTCTATTCACTGTATAAAACCAATTACCAAAAATTAACCCGTTTAATTTAAATTTAATTTATATTAACCAGTTTCTGGCATGGATATCAGTTAAGAGCAGATGTACAATTTTTTTGGCAATGGCCAGTTCAAAATAATATACGAATTAATGTAGAAATTGAGATATATAAGAAGGCATTCTTAACTTCTGCACTGCACAAATATCAACTTTTTGGGGAGGGGGAGAGGGGGGCCCACTTCGAGAATAGACTATACAACCTAAATTCTGTGAAAAGGAACTATAGCACTAACAAAAAAATCATTGGTTATGGATCGTAGACTGTCACCAAAGGAACACACATTGTAAGAGGAGCATATGCCGCACTTTCCAACTTCAGAATAGCTTTTAATTACACTGAAGGTGAAACACTAATGCCGACTTTTTGTGCAACCAAAATTGGAACATGCAACAGTTGTATGGCGTCCTTATCTCAAGATGTAAATAAACTGGCAAAGGTGCAAAGGCGTGCTACAAAATGGTTTCCAAAACTGAAAAACAGTTATGAAGAGTGGCTAGAGGCATTAAATATGCCAAAGCTAGACAACAGAAGGAAAGTAAAATGATCACACCTGCAAAATAACAGGAATCTGCCATATTGAGAGGAATTCATGAAATTGGTAACTTCAATAACAAGAGCTCACAGGTTCAAGCTAAGGAAATAAAGGTGTGAAAAAATAATTGGAAAGTTCTTTTGCAGAATAGCAGACGGTTGGAACAACTTGAGCGAGAAAATGGGAGGCCAAAGCTGTCAGATTCCGAGCGTTATATGAGTGATGGGAAGGTTGGACACAACGAGCACAGCTCATCCTGTAACTAACAGAGTAATTACAAACCTTAATCTTGTGTGCACACAGCACAGTTTACCCGTAAATATCTACATGTTAATCACGCATTTGCTGGTGTTAAAAGTTCAATGACCACTGTGCATTCACAATGCTGGATGGGGGATGTGGCATACATGCTCTTTGTTTAGTTACCAAGGACTTAGAAAGCATGGGGTTTATTCTGGGTGGACAAGCGAGGAAGTAAACGAGTGCCTCTTATGCCCAAGTTTTAAATTATAAATTGGTTAAAACAGCCATATTTGTGGTGTGCAGTGCAGGGGTTAAGTGAATTTATGTATAGCATTTTGAAGGTTATGAATAAAAACTAAAAAGAATCATGATAAAAGGATTAGTACATTTTCCACAATGCATTGCATACATCTACACTATGCAATATTTGCAGTTACAACCCTCTACCATATTTACAAACTGTCATCCTCACCTTATCCAAGACTTGGCAAATAGGGGCAACAAGTCCACTATCTATAACTGCCTGTATCTGCTCCACATTACCAGCTGTAATATTGGAAATTGTCCATGCAGCTTCCTTTACAATGTTGTTGCGGTGATGTCTCAACAATTTGGGGAACACTGGCAATGTTCCAGCATTTATTACAACATCAGTCTGAAAACAAGCACAATTTGAAAATTTTGCAAAACTTGAGAAATTGACATTTCCTTTGTAAACTTTCATATGTAAATATATTCATCAAACAACTCAGGATGTGAACATCAATATTGTAATCATACAAGACAATTAGCCTAATGCACAAGTTCTAATTAAAATACAAGTTCAAAGGTCAAGGTCAAAAATTATACAAGTTCAAAAGTTCAAGTTCATACAAGGTCAAAAATTATACAAGTTCTAATTAAAACTGGCCAACCAAAGAAAAATTTCTGTGCCCCGTTCTCCCACCGATCTTTAATTTCAGTGGAAAATGTCCAGAAAACTCTTACTTTAGAATCTCTGCACATTTCATGCTTATATGGTGTTAACTCTTGTTTACACAAATTGCTAAACAAAATTTATCAAGACTAATTGGATGGTCAGGATTTGGGTGGAAGGAAGAGATTTAAGCCACTCACTTGAGTATCATTGCCAGTAACAATATTTCCAATTGCTCTTAATGCAGGGGTTACAACTGGAAGGTCATCACAGTTCAGCAGCTCCACAAGGCGTGGTACAACTCCAGCATCAACAACCTCTTGGATTTTCTCATTTGTTCCATCGGTTAAGTAAGACAAAGCCCAACACGCATCAGCTGAAATAGCCAGAAATACGCCATAAGCTTTAAACTATTTATACAATGATTCAAGCAAAAATTCTTTCTTCCAATTCTAACAGGTTTGATCAATTTCAGCATTTACACTTTCAGGACAAGTTTTAAAATAATATGCAGTGTTGAACTTTGATAAAGTAACAGATTTATCCCCCTGTTAAATTAAACGATTAATAGCCACTGACCTTTACTACCACTCACTGGATGGGTATGGGATGCATAAACGAACTAAATTAAACTTTTGGTGTACTATTATGATGTATTATGGTGTACTGTACTATATTTGGTGTACTATTATCATTTTACACACCGACTGGTCACAATGCCCATCATGCATCTCACTACCAAGAAAATAAGGTTCAATACAATGTCTTGTTAACCAATAATCTATAATGGTACACATGTTATTCCATTATACTTCAAGTGGAGGCTAAACTTACCTTGGACTTCTTTATCGGGATGACAAATTAGGTGACTCAAGGCAGGTAAACACTGCTTTACAACTTCAAAAGGTGGCGAAGGATTCTTGTTTCGGCACAGGTTACTAAGCGTCCAAGTTACATTTCGTAAGAATGAATGCTGTGGACAAAAATTTAAAAATTTCAATTTGAATATGAGATGTGAATGAGATGTACAAGCCAAAACCTATACATTTTTATGATCTTTAAATGTTATATGCACATCTCTAACATGGGATGGCTGAGCACTTGTGCACTGCATTATGCCTTTTTTAGCTGTACAAGTGAAACAATGACCATCTTTAGTGACAAATTTAACAACTTGCTTCTTTTCTACTCAATAGTAGAGAAGTACCATCTGTACAAGTACTGTTCCATCAAAAATTATATACCAAACTATTTTAAACGATTATTACACTTTACAATCCTCTCATATCAAGTTATACTGTGTGTGTGTGTGTGTGTGTGTGTGTGTGTGTGTGTGTGTGTGTGTGTGTGGACACTGTGGTGGTGGGGACGCGAGTCTAACTCGCGCAAAAAAACAATATACTGTACATTATATCAAGAAATATTTCGGAGATACAGGAACTAAATGAAGTCTGATCTCATAAAAAGTCTATACATTAAACAATACAGTACACCATATTGATTGCCATCCAAATTTTACGTTTCAAAGAAACATCAAGTGAAATTAGAGTGTAGACAACCAATACAACTGCCTGCCTCCTCTGTGGTGCTAGGAACCTTTAGAAATAAGTTACAAACTTTTTTAAAATCACATCCCTCTGTTGAAACATCGGGAAATAGTGGGCCATAGTGCTTAGCTCACTATGTAAACAATTTTAGAACATTTATGTACGTTATCTTAAGAGAAATTACACAAATCCGTTGTGTAAACGAGACCCATCTTTAGCGTAGGACCATCTCGAGTTACCATGTGCTTACTAGGAATTTTTTTTTAAACAAGTGAAATGTACCCAGACACAAAAATAAGACACCTAAACTAAGATAATAAAAAATAATATGCAAGCAATGTATGCAAACACATGAACAAAAAGTTAAGCGTGTGACACGAGGCAACAACACTGCTGGTCCATACAGCCACCTTACCGGCTGGTCTTGTCCATCCACCGACCACCACCTACCAGTCCACTGCCTTCACTACCACCACCACAAATATTCAGTAAAAATGTGCACAGAATGCTACAGGAAAGATTACCATTAGCGCTTTCATTGCCAACTCTGCAGTCACACAGTAAATTTGCTAACATGACATAACGCAAGGAAAACGGGTCTCAGACCACTGTACTGATTAGGCAAAAAGAATATTACTTTCTTGAAGAGGATCACAAATCTTTATAATACACCTGAAGAGAACAGGGAATCACTTCTAAATGAAGTGCATAGAAATTTCAAATGTTTACAAATTGTCCATGAAACCCAGGTAGAATCAGACTTGGCACCCAAGCTGGGTGCAGTCTCAGTGCCAGGGTTGAGCAAAGAAAAAGGACAAAACCTGTCAATATTATAAATGAGGTATCTGTAAACACAGGATATTGAGAAGTTAAATTTGGAAAATACAAGTACCATAGAAAGTGCAAAAACCCCCTTAGTACGGGTAAATGTACCAAAAGCTGTGTATCTTTCCACCCAGAACTTTGTTGAAAGTCTTATTTAAGGAGTTCTTGCAAAGTCCAGCTTTTCATACGAGATACACTAGACGAATAACAGACCACCACTAAGATAATTTTTTTTAGGAAGAGGAAGAGAAGAATAGCTAGAAAATATCCACACTATCAACTAGGTCAAATGAGGGTTGGGGAGGAGGAGACAGTGGCTTCCCTACCACAGCCTCAAATATTAACACAAAGAAAAGCATCCAGCACTTCCACAAACAATTTATTTGTCAACATCCAGGGTATAACAAATCTAACAAAGTTCATTTTATAGCTGGCCTCCTACACAAGGCAAATGCAGTGTTTACAGCCCTAACACACCCACACAAAGGACTACTGTGATTGTGAAATATGAACTTTTTGAAGAGCAATCCATTCAGATGTGACCAGAGGGTACAGGGTGGGGGTGAGCCTGTACCTCAAAGACTTATCTGCACTGAGCTGCTGAACACTACAAACTATATAGTGGAAGTACTGATAAACAAGATCCTAAATGCAGACGAGGAGTCACAATAACGTGGCTGAAGTATGTTGACCAGACCACACTAGTAGGTGAAGGGACGACGACGTTTTGGTCCATCCTGGACCATTCGCAAGTCGATCGATCGGCTTGAGAAACTATCGACCTGAGAATGGTCCAGGACGGACCGAAACGTCGTCGTCCCTTCACCTAGTGTGCGGTCTGGTCAACAAGATCCTAAATGTAGTTATTGTCCTTGTTTATATGTCACCTGCGGCAAATCCTCAGCAGTTTAAAGATCAACTAATGACAGTGTGAAAGCTCAAATCCAGTCCCAAAACATCTTGCTTGGGTACGACAACCTACGGCACCTGAAATGGAAGAACCTAGCTAACAATAATATCTGAAACAATACCAGGAAGTAGCCTAAATGATGTCACAAACAAATAACCTACTATGGATGTGCAACAGATTTGCCTTTAATAAAAAAAAAAATGCCGAACCCCATTTTCACTAATAATAACGAAATGATCAGGAACAAATTATGATTACAAATACTGGTTATTCAGATCACAACTTTATTCCCTCCATGCTTGTCAGAACCTCAATAGACCTGCAAAACCAGTCCCAAACCCCAGAGAAGGGGAATTCACCAAATTAAATTTTAATGAACAGAATTGTGAGCAAATAAACAGAAGACCTCACAGAAATAAGCTGGGAAGAACTGGAAAATGCAAACCTGAACCAGTGCCTGGAAAAAAATTAGTTCAAACTGCATACCCCTAAGAAATTGACAAAGAAATGCAGATTGGAAAGGGTTTGGCATTCCCTTCATAAGTAAAACAAATCCCGGAGCACCTCGAGTCACACCATATCTCATAACAAAGGCGGCTAGGTAGAGTAATAGAAACGATCAAACTAAAAACAAGAATAAAAAAATCAACGACACCACAAAAGGCCATCGGTGAAAGAAATCAAATATTTCTCCTATATTTTGAAAATATTCAAAGTAAAGACTACATCTGGTATTGGGCCCCTGCAGAAGGGAGATGGACCTTCCACAGATGACAAAGAAATGGTTGAAATACTGAGGAATCTGTACAACTGTTTTCAGCAACACCCCACAAGACCAGAAGGCATGGCAGGATGTGCAGAATACCCCCGTTGAAGAGCAGAGGGACAATAGGTACTCAGAACTCCAACATTAGAGGCCAGAGACTGTTCCAACACCTTTCCACTACACAAGGGGCACAAATGGCCAACCCCTCAAGTGTTCAAGAGAACTTTATAAACACCAAATGACACCTGATCGACCAGGCTGTGATTCATACTTCAGACTGCGAGCAGCTGCATCCAACAAACCAGGAGGTCTGGTCGACGAACGGGCCACGGGGGGACGTTGAGCCCAGAAATCATCGCAAGGTAACCACAAGGTAAAGTTCCATTTTCAGTTCACAAACATGTATCTGATCAGCTACAACTTACCAGTGAAACCGAGGTCTACCAAAATGTACAAAAAGTTTTAAATTGCTCTTCAAGCCCAGATCTCATTTCAGTTAAGAATAGAGAATACTAAGATTTAATTTTTTGTTTGCCATTCAATATTACAACTACATACCACAGTATTTAAGAGTGACAAATTCTCATAGTCTTTCCTAATTTACCAAAAAATGTGTCAATTACCTCTGTTTCTGGCTTTATGAGTTCAAGAAGAGGTTTCACAATTCCAGCTTTGATAACGAAGTCTCTTAGTTCAGGTCCATCACCAGCAATATTTCCAAGTGCCCATACTGCTTGCTCAGCTACATTAGTATGTGGCGATCTTAGCAGCTTCACAAATGAGATTACTGCACCCGAAGCTGAAAATATATTTTTACAATACAATTTATACAAAAGTGCAAATTTAGGGACCAATAGCCTCAGAATACAGTAATGGATATGTACATTCTCCATGAACACTAGCCTTTTCTTCTACTGCTTACTTTATTTTATACAATGATTTATTAATCAATTTGGTCCTAGTTTTAACCCTTAAACTGCGCATGGCGTATATATACGCCCCGAGTAACATGTCCCATGGTGCGCATGGCGTATATATACGCCATAGGGTGCCAGGCCTGATTCAAATGGCCCACGGCTACACGGGGTTCACAGTAGCTTCCTCAGGGCTCTTGTAAACAGATGCCATTTAAAAAAAAAATCGTGGGCAATATTCTCAGGTGTGAGAGGCACAGTACTGTTGGAGCAACCAAGGCCGGCGCACGCAGCATGAGCGGACAGCATTGATGTTCAGCTTGTGACCACAGCATCGCCGAAAAATGTCAATAAATATATAATTTTTATTATTTAGCGATGACAATATTACAGATGACCAATGACTGATAAATAACTAGGGTTGTGATAATAGCAGGATTGTTGTAATAATTAGCGCTGTGGGAGGAGTGATGCTGAGAGATGGAGGGAGACAGCATCGTTTACTGACTGTGTGGCTAGCTGTTATTGTTTGCATTCACCATACCAGGTCAGTGGTTCTCTATGATGAACACAAATGTAGATACTTACATTTAATGTGTATTACATTATATAATGTGTGTATTAGTGTAATAACAGCAAAAGGATTATGCTGGGAGGAGCCATATGGGTGACGGAGGTGACGTCGTCTGCACGATTTGTCTAGCTGTTTAGAGGGTGGCCACTATGCTCTTTGGGCGCACTACAAGCTTAGGTGTACAGTTACGGTGCATAAAACATGTAGATATTTATATATAATGTGTATATAGGGTAATAACACTGCAAAAGGTATTGTTGGGGGAGAAAGTTTAGTGCGTGTGACCTTGAAAGAGTGAGGGAGCCGCCAGCCGCCATCTGTGTATAGCGACGACTCTTAGTGCCTGAACTAACTATATCAGCTTAGCTGTACAGTTGCGGTGAACAAAATATATACATACTTATATATAACGTCTGTATATAGTGTAATAACACCACAAATGGTATTGTTGGGGGAGAAAGTTTAGTGCGTGTGTTGAGGGAGTGGCAGCGAGTGGCTGGCTGGTGTGTGGCGGTAACTCTTCGTTGCTTTTCGATTCTCAATACCAACTTAGTGGTTCGTTATTGTGACCAAAACATGCAGATACTTATATATAACCTGTGTATAGAGTAATAGCAGCAAAACTATTTGTTTATCGTTTTATAAACATAATTGAATCACTAATATGCACATCATACTTTTGAGTATAGCAATTATTCACCACTTTTATTATATAAATATATTACAACACACACTATTGAATAATATTACTGCAAAAAAACTAAGAAAAAATAAATCGGAGACATTGAAACAATTAGGTAATGATATCTTTGTGGCAACTCCCATCTGTCGCACGGGTGACGCTGACCGGGTCTGACGACCGCTGTCAACGCCCACTTTTTGCCAGACTTCCTCGGTCAATTGTGCCCAAAATATGTCACCTATTTTTGTTTTATTTTTTCCGTGTTCAGGGGGGACAAATTAACATGTTTAGAAGATTAAATTTTTTTTTATTTTTTTTTCTTGCACACAGGGGTGTAAATGTCCCAAGGACCCCTGAGCAGTGTAAGGGTTAATGCATTGAGGCACATTTATATTGTAAATATTAAACCTATGAAATATTACGTACTCATTGGTTCAGTATACATAGACTTTTACATACTATGGATATCTAAACTACCCATCAGAAATAGAAGAAATGACAGTTTCAGTCAACCCTGAAAGACTATAAAGTTGTGATAATGGTCCACGACTGAACCTTGTTTCTTCACTTCCCACCGTGCAGTTTGAAGATTACACACATTACCACATTTACACCTTTTCGTGTATGACTACAGCAAAATATATAGAAGTAAAATTACAAGGAAATATTATCCACAAGTATATTGAAGGGGTCATATCGCTTATGGCCAAGTGAAGTTAGTAGAATACTGAACAGCACAAACATTACAAGCCATATATACAAGACACATTTTATATAAAGCAAGCCATCTCAAACTATTACTTCCCCCGAGCATAACTACCCAATCCAAATAGTTCTCTGCCAGATATTACTAGACAACGACGAGAGGACTCCACCCGCAGCGCCTTAGTACCAAGATTAGTTTTTCTGGTTTATTAAAAAGCCTAATAAGAGCAGCAATGTCGTTTTTCAAACTGTCTACTTCTCCTCTAACTTGTACACTTATATAGGGGCTCCTCAGTGCCTTATAATTAGTCTACACTACTCTTACCAAGATTTGCTTTGTTTAAGGAAGCCAAAATAAAAAAGCTTGGAAAAATTATAAATTATTGCAAAACAAGGCAATAATACATTAAATGTACAATTTTTATATCACTGACCCAAACAGGAAATTTTGTAGTTCAGTAAAATTTGCTCCTTGGAGGCACAGCTATTAACAGCACAGTGCACAAAAATAATGCAGACTTTTCCCTCCAATAATGTTAACATTATCGCTCACTTTGGACACCGATCACATCCATTTTTTTTTCTCTCTCTCTCTCTCTCTCTCTCTCTCTCTCGAGTCCTAGCTGTGGACAGGACTGTGTCCACTACAAAAATATTTGTATAAAATTCATTTTTTTATCCCATCGACCTCTGGATAGTTTCAAAATGAGCACCTTTAGAATGCGCACAATTTGATACCAAAATGAAAGATTTAACACGAAACTTTATGTCAGAACACTTTCAAGATTATAAATGCGTTTTTGGATCTAAATTTTAAAATGTTAAAATTCATTTTATTGTGCTATTATTATGGGACTAGTTTTAAAATGCACGCCTTTATATTGCAAACAATTTGATACCAAAATGAGCGATGTAACATGAAAATTGATGCCATCAAACTGAACGAGTATACGCATTAGGTTGTGGTGTGCAAATTGGTGCTCGTTCACGGGTAATTTTAGGCTTGCTGTGGGGAGTCTCACCAGGCTTTTGGACATTATATGCATATACATCTGCAGGGAATTTAATTGCAAACACAATGATACCATAACGAATGACGTAGCACAAGAATTAAGGCGAGAAAACAAACTAGTACACATTTAGGCGTCACCGCACGCTTGCCCACACCATTAGCCCCATGACGTCAAAGTCTGCGGCACTCTCGTATTAACACTGAGCTGCGGACGTGCGTGCCCCAGGTTGCTCAATACAGAGACCTTCCCACTTAGGAATGGTGGCCAAGATTTGTGTAAATGTGATCCGTTTACTGGAGCGCCAACAAAGCCGTTGTGAACCCCTTTTAGTCTAATCTTGTGCAAGATAAAAGAACTAGTGAAATTGTTGTAGCCGTTGGAGCTACAACAAAAAATGAACATTATAATAATCAGGGAGGCCCCCCACAAGACAGAGAGGCTAGGAGGAATTTAAAGGAATTCTCTGCAAAGTGCAGGTAAATGTGACAACTGTAGGCATGGGAAGGTTCAACATTGACAAATACCAGTGAAGGATGCCTTCCAAAGTCAAGTCAAGTATATACTGTACAGAAGAGAAGGTAAGAGGTATGGGGGAAGATACAGCTGGGTGTTCACCGACCAGGACAAGTTAGGGTGAAAACAACGAAAGGAAAAATACAGGACACGAAACCGAGAACGAGACAGAGGCCAGAGCAGATGGACATCAGGCCAAGATAGTGGGGCCTAATTAGCATGGCAAAACCTTTACTGTACCTCACAAAACCATCTACACAGCTTTATCCATTAGTCAAATTTCTAGTGTAGATCTTTGACTCAAATATAACAAATACTAGCCCATCAATAACATTAACACCAATTAAAATTTGCAAGACCCCCCCCCCCACCATTCAACCAAATTGGCTGAGCATGATAGTAATATATATATTAAAAGTAGTCCTAAGTTATGTATTTTTTTGTTTGATTCATTGAAGACGCTTGCTCTCTGCAAGTCTTAATAAATCTGCAGTCTTAATAAATCTTTAAATTTCAGAACTACTGGGAAAGATAAAGGATGACAAAACTAACAAGTATTCCTACCTGCGACAGCCTGAGTTTGTTGTGATGTGCCAGAAGCAATGTTAGTCAGCGCCCAGGCTGCTTCAAACTGCAGAGCAGGGCTGCAACAAATCAAATCATTATCACCACCATACAAAATTCAAACAAATAATCAGAAATATATTTATCAGATGCACATTATAATCAGAATTGGCAAGCCTGTGCACCACCACATCCAGCATAGAACATGCAAGGACAGGGGAGCAACAGAATTATATACCTTCAGATGACGCGCATGTGCAAGGTTACTCATCATTTAAGCACGACAACACAACCATCGGGTCCTTAAAGTACTTACTTGTCTGCTCTTTCCAGGAATTGTACAAGAGGATTAACCATGCCAGCTTCTATAATAGCATCTATGGGAGGGTTGCGTTCTCGAGAGAGCATCTTTCTTGCCGCCTGTGTAGCGATTACTTGTCTACTGCTATCTGTACTAATAATGCCATTGATAATTTCCTCAAGACTCATCACAGGACCCTACAAAAGAAAAGTCAAATGTCAGATCATAAAACTCTTAATGTCTAATAAGTTGCTAAAAAAAAAAAAAAAAAAAAAAAAAAAAAAAAAAAAAAAGAGAATGCCAACTATTTTTTGGATTACAATTTCTAGTAAACAAATTTGACAATCCTAAGGTTTCCACCAAGGTGTGGAGGCACCACCCTAGACAAAATAAGGTATGTGGAAAGTGGTAATACAGTTACCACTTGAAAATACAATACAGTTACCATTTGAAAAGAAATTTTCAAATGTCATACAAAACATTACTGACAGACCTATATTTCCCTGCCATTGAAATCTAACCAAAGTCTCCCTACATCAGGAAAATTATATTAACAAGCAACTTCATTTTTTGAAGATATAGTGTACCAGGAAAATATGAAACTAGGCACACTCAAAATTCAATTTTCTGCCCAACACAGACATGTTCACACAAGTGGCCAGGACTGGGAGAACCGCAACCAAAAATACTTTCGAAGTAATGGTAACTCAGTAAAACATTATAAAGCTGCACTTTGGTTAAATCAGCACCTTTTATCACCAATATGCAGACCTTCAGACAACCTTGCAGCATGACAAACTAAGCACAAGCCAGAAAAACACTTGTGCACTCAACCTTACAATCTTACAAAAATTTAGTACTAGAAATAATGAAAAAACTTTACCATGTCAATTATAATTTAGCACTAATTGATAAAGCAAGATATCCCCTCAGCCTGTGCCTAATAATTATTACCGTGGTATTCTGTTCCTGGAGAGGAGAGGTTGGATCATCAAGAGAGACATTTCTTCTCTTCAGCAACTGGTCATCCTTTTTAGCCTTCCGTAACTCGATGCTGGTCTCTTGTCGCCGACGGCGCATCTCCTGTGGATTGGTTTTAAAAATTCAATGTTACTACATGCATTATTAAGCTAATATTACCAAAACTTTACAGCAAATTACAATATCAATTTTCTAAAACTCTTGAAAACATAAATTAGTCGCCCATCCCCAAAACTTTCCCCACACACACACACACTTACCTCCATATCTTTGCCCGCATTTTTAAAGCTTTTCATGCGGCTAGGGCCAGGGCTGCTATCACGGGCAACAGCCGGTGCTGGCATTCTGCTGGAGGACTCCAGGCTAGCGATTTACAAGTGACAGTTTAACTTGGACAGCGAGCGCCACCTGGCAACACTTACGACACCAATGCTTTCTAGTCGAGCTTTGTTTCTAGCTCAATATTTACTTGGGAACCTGCAAGAAAATTTAAAGATATTAACATGGCATTCTTAACTGTGTACTAAAAATTTAATTAGGTAATTTGTCTTTCAAAAGTAAATGATTAGAGAAAAAAAATAAAATAAAAATATTGTAGCACCAGATTTTCATTGTGGCACCAAAGATGCTTAGACTAGTTGTGGGAAGAGAAACGAATTCAATATATGTACTAGTACTATTTTAAAAACCTCTCCATCTAAAGGAGGTATATTATGGAAAAATGTGAAATGAAAACTGGTTCGATTTCAATTGAACCGACTAATTGTATATAACATTTGATATAACACTAATGTGTATACAACATTTGATTTGGTTCAAGTCTCGGCATCATAACAAATAGGAAGGGAGAAAAAAAATTGAATTTGCAAATTTTTTTTCCAAAATTGTCAAAAATTATCAAAAAAGTGTCAATTTATATCGTGTATCACAATAGCATATAATAAAGTATTTTAATATTCAGTTTTATGAAAAAACTAATATTTTTTTATCAGCCGACTAACATGAAACACCTTACAGAACGCAAGCCTATCTGTAAGGATACAAATTTTGGAGGAAAATAGTTGAAGTCAATTTCATCCATAGGCGGCAGAATCTTTGATCTTATTTATGGGCAAGTAATTTTTTTTTTTTTTTCAATTTACATGAAATTTACATCAACATTTATAGAGCACTTTATTACCAAGTTCATTTATTGATTTTATAAATATATAAATATTTGCAAACATGAAATATTGGCATGCATTTTTAGAGAACTTTGACTACTTGCATTAGTAAAACTAAACATTTTGGATAATCCTTTTAATAAAAATTCTTTATTATATGCTAATATGATATGAGTGTCAAATTATGTCATTTGAATCTTGTGGTAGAAGTAGATTGAAAATGTAAAATCCATTGAGGGGAGAGAGGAGAAGAGGAAAAAAAAAAAAAAAAAAAAAAACTCCCTTTCCATTCAGGGTGCAATACTGAAATGTAGAACAGTTGCAGCCCTTCTTATATATAACTAGCAAAAACATTTCCAAATCTCGTAATATGCCACCTTGAAGCTTAATCTTTCTCACCATCCTCGTGTGATTAGTACCAAGTGTACGATGGAACTAGTCAAGTTCAACCACCTCAGGTTCACAATCACACTAATGGCATTTTATATTTTTATTTTGAGATATATACAAGAGTTGTTACATTCTTGTACAGCCACTAGTACACATAGCGTTTCGGGCAGAAACCCTGGAATACGATCCCCGCCGCGAAGAATTGTTGTTACAACCAAGTACACATTTTACTGTCGAGTTAAAGAGGCTACAGTTAAGGATTTGCGCCCAGTAAATCCTCCCCGGCCAGGATACGAACCCATGACAAAGCGCTCGCGGAACGCCAGGCGAGTGTCTTACCACCACACCACGGAGACTGGTTATCTGAATCACAAGAGATTATTAATGTTACCCATTTTAGTTACCGGAACATTTGACAAGGCCAAATTTCTTACCAGAAAAAAAGTAACTATTTTCTAAACGAGCTCTAACTTCCTCATGCAAACTCCCACCTTATACCATGTCACTTGCTGTTTACTCTAAAATGGAGGTAAAGATCTTAAACCACAGGTTACCATTCAAATTAATAAAATATTCCCAGTTTGCTAACTGTAGGTAGTAACCGAGTGATTGTAACCTATCCACCGCTGCCCACTGGATGGGGGGGGGGGGGTGCAGGACAAACATATCAACTGTGACACTAGCTCTCCACATATGTCAGTTGCATAATTTAGAAACAGTACTTGTGGTGTCGATCTCGAACCCATTGTTGATGTGACGACTTATATTGAATTTTGTAACTAGCTCATCAAGATAGTAACTTGCTTAGCTAAATGAATTGTGGAGTTCAGTCCCTGAGCCCATTATGTGCCTCTGTAACCCATTCCACTACCACGCACAAGATGGGTATGGGGTGCATAATATATGAACTAAAAAAAAAAATGAAGCCAAGAATTTATGCAACTTCATCCCAGCCACAGATACTCAGATAACAACACTCTAAACTGGATATCACAGTTTCTTTATACAGTTTTTTCCACTTCAAAAACTTTCAAATCTTTACCTATATTATCTGCCTCCGAGATTAACCACGTTGTATTACATATTAAATGCCATGCTTTTAATTATGAGAAATTAGCAAAAGATAAAAACTTAAAAAAAATTGTTTAACAAGTTTTTTTGAATTTTACTGGAAAAGTCCGAGGGAAGTCATTTATAATAAGCTTTAAAACTATAATCATTCAAAAAGCACATACCAAAACTAGAGAAAACTTCACCCAAACCTTCAGAAGGAAATTACCAGTAGAAAGCAGCAGCCTGGTAAGACTATACCACATGGAAAAGTTACAAACACAGGATAACTGATTAAAGGGATATGATCGGGCACAAGGAATTGTGACCAACCATTTGTACCATTGGAGCTGGAACACCGACCCTACAAGAAGAGGGCATTGCTGTACTGGGCACAGGAGAGAGACCATAAAGAAAAATGGAATAAAAATCCATTAACAAATAAGTCGGAAACCACTACACTGCAGTAAAAAATAAAAATAAAAAAAGATATTGTAAATGACTAAAGTGGAACTATGCTTATTCTATACTCTAATAATTGCATGAACTTTGGGGAATAATGAATAAATAGCTTATCTGTTGGGCAAGACAGATTTACCGAGATCAGAAACTTGCTACAAAAAAACGTTCGACTATTTTAAAAGCAGGAAATTGTAGGAACGATAAAATGCAGCCAAAACTGATTAAGAACAAATTTACCTACTAGAAATGGGCATCGATAAATGCTAGAGATTTCTTTGACTGTGTTCACATTTCCGACACGCACAAATGTCGGATTTTTTTTAGTTCCATGGTTCAGTTTTGGTCATACGAGAGGATGTTGTGGCTGTGAATTTTTTTTTTTACGGGCTCACCATAGCCCGTGCTACCTGGAAGTTGTTCCAAATAGCGGACTTTAAATAACGTTTTTTGCCATAAAAAATTATGAATTTTAGAATTACAACTAAATGGTTGCTCCACCACACAGGACACACGCAGAAAGGGGGGAAGAGCCCCCCCCCACCACACAGGACACCCATTGAGGGGGGAAGAGCCCACCCACCACACAGGACACCTGCAGAGAGCGACAAGAGCCCCCCACCAAAAAGGACATCCACAAAAAGGGGGGGGGGAAGAGCCCCCCACACCACACAGGACACCCACAGAAGGGGGGGGAAGAGCCCCCCACAGAAGGGGGAAGAGCCCCCCACAGAAGGGGGAAGAGAGCCCCCCACACCACACAGGACACCCACAGAAGGGGGAAAGAGAGCCCCCCACACCACACAGGACACCCACAGAAGGGGGAAGAGAGCCCCCCACACCACACAGGACACCCACAGAAGGGGGAAGAGAGCCCCCCACACCACACAGGACACCCACAGAAGGGGGAAAGAGCGCCCCCCACACCACACAGGACACCCACAGAAGGGGGAAGAGAGCCCCCCACACCACACAGGACACCCACAGAAGGGGGAAGAGAGCCCCCCACACCACACAGGACACCCACATAAGGGGGGGGGGCGCCCCCCACAAGTCAATAAAATACCGCGCACAAGAGCGCCCCCCTCCACACCACCACCACCCGCGCCACACACCACCTGCAGGCAGCCCCACCCCACCTCCCACCACACAACACACAACACCCCAAGACATAAAACATTCCCCCCCTGGCCGGTCGCCATTGCCACCACATGGCAATCGCGTGGAAAAACATCTCCCTCTATCGCCATTCCCAACCAGTAGAGCGCCGGCCGCCGCTGCTTACACCCCTCTAAGAGGCTTTACGGGCACAAGAGCCACAGCAAAGAGGCGTTAAAGAGGAGAAAAGCGGAGGAGAAAGGTGCCAAACCTGGTCGACGCGGTGTGATGTCTTTGTCTGGTGTCGCCCTCCGCCGCCTGGCTGGAAATTATAACATGGAGAAGGCGGACGCTGATTGGTCCGTTCAAATGCAGGTCCCGGTTACTAATTACTCGCTACGGCTCCCTTTTAATGGTTTAATGTCAAATTTACATTTTCAAATAAAGATCGAACTCCAATTTTATGAGGCCATTTATTTTTGGGGTGTTTGGTCGCGGCGAAGGGTGTTTTAAATTGACGAAACCATAGATTTAATTTGCAAATCTAGTGAGCAAGGTGGTGATTGGTGGGAAATTTAAATGTCCGCAGACGTACCCCAACCTGTGGCACGGCCCAACACGTTATTCAGGAGTTATATCAATACAAAAAAAATATATGTTCTGCATAAATATATTATTTATTTATATATGTATATATATACAAGAAGGTATTACTATACCATTTTGTATATTACAAGACTACTATTCTACTTTTACTAGCCTTCTACTACTATACTATAGACACAATATTACTATTGTGTAAGCGCGTTGTAAGTCATTGCTAAATTGTTTGTTTTTATTATATCGCCATTGTTATTTTATATGGTTTGTATACGGTGATAAAGACATAACGGATGGAGGTGGAAAATGAACATTTGATTATATTACGCAGAAAGAAATTGAATTACGCACTCAGGACGAATAAGAGTCACATCGTATACAGGACGGTTCGACAATGGATTTTGAAACCTACCTAACTTAACCCAGCTCAACTTAACCTAACCCAACCCAACCGAGCGAAATACAGCCCAACCTAAGCTAATACATCCTAGCATAGCAATATACACGGTTGTAATAAACAGGAAACGAGCTTAGTCGAATTATCTCATCTCGTGTCCGAAACGACCATACCCTACTTAGGACAGGTTGTTAGTCATCTGTTTGTTCTGTCTCACCTGTGTTAATGGCGGCTTTGTCAATGTCAGTTGTACTCACTTGTCTTGTGGGGGTTGAGGCTCGGCTCTTTAGTCCCGCCTCTCAGTAAACTGTCATTCTATTGGTGTACAGGTTCCTGAGCCTACTGGGCTCTTATCATATCTACATTTGATATTGTGTATGGAGTCAGCCTCCACCACATCACTGCCTAATGCGTTCCATTTGTTAACTACCCTGACACTGAAAAAACTTACCTTGATATATACAAGATGTATATAACTCTATGCTGGAGCTGCATACTTCAGGATTGGTCTCATATATGTGCTATACGAGGTTCTAAATGATTCCTTACGCAGGTTTCTAAAGGGAATTCTCATGTTAGCCTGTTGTGCATCTGTTGTTGTCCCTATCCTTCAGTGAGCTATGGTGAATTGGGATGTATTAATATTCTGCTTTTGAAGATATACTTCAAAAGCATACATTTATACCCGGGTTCCCTGTAATGGTTGGTTCATGCTCCCTGTACCCTCTTAATTATGTTTCCTCATTGTCTTAATTCCCTGGCCTTATTTTTTTCCCCCGGACATATTCTGGCTCAGATATACATCACTTGTAGGGAGGAGGAGCCGAGTGGACAGCATGCTGGACTTGTGATCCTGTGGTCCTGGGTTCGATCCCAGGCGCCGGCGAGAAACAATGGGCAGCGTTTCTTTCACCCTATGCCCCTGTTACCTAGCAGTAAAATAGGTACCTGGGTGTTAGTCAGCTGTCACGGGCTGCTTCCTGGGGGTGGAGGCCTGGTCGAGGACCGGGCCGCGGGGACACTAAAAAAAAAAAAAAAGCCCCGAAATCATCTCAAGATAACTCAAGATAGCATCTTAGGTCTCATATTCCATGTTCCCTGTCCCTGTCCTAGTCTCTCTGCCTTCAGTGTCGTAATGTCCCTGTAATATAGTGCTACATACACTATATTTCAGTCCCCGTGGCGTAGTGGTAAGACCCTCGCCTGGCGTTTCGCGCGCTTTGTCCTGGGTTCGTATCCTAACCGGGGAGGATTTACTGGGCGCCAATTCTTAACTGTAGCCTCTGTTTACCCAGCAGTAAAATGGGTACCTGGTTGTTAAACGATTTAGGATTAAGGAGCGGCCCGAAACGTTATGCGTGCTAGTGGCTCTACAAGAATGTAACAACTCTTGTATATATAAATACACATAAAAATAATTTCTTGCCCGAAAGGCATTGCGTAATAGTGGCTTTAGGCATTGTATGTACTAGCTCTATCTATATATCAATCCATTAATGTAACATCACTTGTATGTATGTATGTACCTTACCTGAATAAACATATTTATTTATTTTATTTATAAAACTATATAGTAGTAATGGCTTGGCGCTTTCTCCTGATAATTCCTTTCGCTTCCTGTTCTTCACATTAGGCTTCAGTGATTTTTGCCCCAAGTGGCAGTTAGGTTCAGTAGAACATGGAATGTGTTCGAGACTTAGGTCACTTTGCCATGGTTCACAGAGCTGTAAGTTGTGTCAGGGGTCATGTCTGTATGCAGACCTATATTTGTGCCCGTAGGAGAGTGCTTTAGCTCTTGAACCCCGCCTTTCCAGATGCCTGTCATCTAATACAATGACTCCGTCCCTACATATATCATATGTAATTTTAAATTGAGGGTAGATTAGGCTTCCCCCCATGCTTCCTTGGTTAGTTTCTTACATTGTCTTGCGATTGTTGTACTAAAGTAACATGTCTATGGCTCCACTGCCTTTAACTTCCATCCAGTACCTCTCCTTCTCCTGGGATTCATGGTAAATATTTCATTTTCTACCTATCAATTTAGCTATTTCATATTTACATGAATTTACCTGCGAGCTACTATCTCTTTAGTAGCCTCGACAGGGACAGGAAGCCGGTAGTTTGTCTTAGATATTGTTCCTGGAAATGTGTTATATTTGGATTACGTGGGTAGGCTGTTCCATGGGTTTATAAATCTTTTGGTGGAAAAACATCTGTTTTCTGTCCTACAGTGTGGCTTGTTGTGCCTGAATCCTTGTTTGTGTTACACCGGACATTTTAAAAAACTGGTTTGGATTAATATCCTCCAACTTGTTCGATATCAGCCCTGTGATAACGAGTTGGGACTGTTGTTAGTCCCGTGTCCCTCAGCCGTTCCTGGTATCAGAGTCGACTTAGTTCTCGAATTATTTTTGGCGCCCGGTGTTTAACTTTTTGAACTTTCTCCAAAGCGGATGTCTTTTTGAAGGTGAAATTTCCATGCTTGCCTTTCTAACATTGTTAAATTCGTAGTTCTTGCTTTCACAGAGGCTTATAAAAGACTACAAAAGACTTTCCTTGCAGTATTTACATAAAAAAGTTTCCTGTTCGTGCATGTGTGCTGACTATTTTTATAAATTGTCTCGTAGTAATATACAGAAAGTGTTGAAGGGGGGGCTATTGCAGGATCTGTTTTAGAAGCTGTGTTAGGAGGGTATTGAAGGAGGGAGCTGTTGCAGGGGTTGGTGTTGACAAACAATTTCTGCAGACCTGTGGTGTAGGATGATTACACTGACTCAGCACGGATGGTGTGGCGTGCTGTGGCTGGTGGTGGTTGACATGTAGGCTGCTATATGGTGGTGGTGGTTGACATGTAGGCTGCTATATGGTGGTGGTGGTTGATATGTAGGCTGCTATATGGTGGTGGTTGACATGTAGGCTGCTATATGGTGGTGGTGGTTGACATGTAGGCTGCTATATGGTGGTGGTGGTTGACATGTAGGCTGCTATATGGTGGTGGTGGTTGACATGTAGGCTGCTATATGGTGGTGGTGGTTGACATGTAGGCTGCTATATGGTGGTGGTGGTTGACATGTAGGCTGCTATATGGTGGTGGTTGACATGTAGGCTGCTATATGGTGATGGTGGTTGACATGTAGGCTGCTATATAGTGGTGGTGGTTGACATGTAGGCTGCTATATGGTGATGGTTGACATGTAGGCTGCTATATGGTGATGGTTGACATGTAGGCTGCTATATGGTGATGGTTGACATGTAGGCTGCTATATGGTGGTGGTGGTTGACATGTAGGCTGCTATATAGTGGTGATGGTTGACATGTAGGCTGCTATATGGTGGTGGTGGTTGACATGTAGGCTGATAGGGACACAGAGGGTCGGATATTAGCTAGTAAAGTGGGATTCGTGCTAGGAGCCACTCTAGAGGACTTCATGCTAGGAGCCATTCTAGAGGACTCCATGCTAGGAGTCACACTAGAGGGCTTCATGCTAGGAGCCACACTAGAGGGCTGCATGCTAGGAGTCACACTAGAGGGCTGCATGCTAGGAGCCATTCTAGAGGGCTCCATGCTAGGAGTCACACTAGAGGGCTTCATGCTAGGAGCCACACAAGAGGGCTCCATGCTAGGAGTCACACTAGAGGGCTGCATGCTAGGAGCCACACTAGAGGGCTCCATGCTAGGAGCCACACTAGAGGGCTCCATGCTAGGAGCCACACTATAAGGGGCTCCATGCTAGGAGCCACACTATAAGGGGCTCCATGCTAGGAGCCACACTATAAGGGGCTCCATGCTAGGAGCCACACTATAAGGGGCTCCATGCTAGGAGCCACACTATGAGGGGCTCCATGCTAGGAGTCACACTAGAGGGCTCCATGCTAGGAGTCACACTAGAGGGCTTCATGCTAGGAGCCACACTAGAGGGCTCCATGCTAGGAGCCACACTAGAGGGCTCCATGCTAGGGCATACACAAGAGGGCCCCATACTAGGAGCCACACTAGAGGGCTCCATGCTAGGAGTCACACAAGAGGGCACCATGCTAGGGCATACACAAGAGGGCTCCATGCTAGGAGCCGCACTAGAGGGCTCCATGCTAGGAGTCACACAAGAGGGCCCCATGCTAGGAGCCACACTAGAGGGCTCCATTCTAGGAGTCACACTAGAGGGCTCCATGCTAGGAGTCACACAAGAGGGCTCCATGCTAGGAGCCACACTAGAGGGCTCCATGCTAGGAGCCACACTAGAGGGCTCCATGCTAGGAGTCACACAAGAGGGCTCCATGTTAGCAGTCACACAAGAGGGCTCCATGCTAGGAGCCACACTAGAGGGCTCCTAGCATAGAGCCCTAGCAGTGTGCTACTGCTGATGATATTTTATTTATGTTTACCATCTTGCGTCGTTTTCTGTAATTGTCTTTAGGAAAGTGGTTTTCTTTGGTTGTGTCCCGTCCTCTATGGACTCACCTAGTTGTGCTTGCTGGGGTTGAGTTCTGGCTCTTTGGTCCCGCCTCTCAACCGTATGTTTATTACCACAGCTGTGTTAGTGTCAGCTTTATTAGCGTTAGCTGTGTTAGTGTCATGTGTATTACTATCAGCTGTCTGTCAGTTGCCTGTACGTGCTTATCAGTGAATTGTACTATATCCTGATGTTCAAATTTTTTGTTGAATCTAAAATTATGGATGGAGGTGGCTTCTACAACTCCTTTGAATGTATTCCACTTGTCAACCATCCGCGTACAGGGTACGAAAACTTCCATACATTTCTTCGATTCAATTGTCTTTTGAGCTAACACCTGTGTCCGTTTGTCCTACTTTTTCTCACGTTAAAGAAGCTGATCATATCCACCATGTGAATTCCACTCAGTATTTTGTATGTTGTGATCATGTCCCCCATTATTTATTTTCCGTTAGATATTCTCTTATCCAGTTTAGTTTTTTTTCAGTTTCTCCAGCTTTATGCGCCATTCTTGTGAGAATAATAATAATATAAAATAATTTGTGATAATGTAGGAGTTTTTTTTAGTTTAGTTCATTTATTATGAGTGGCCGTGTGATAGAACTATATCAAGTGTGCCTGATGGGATTTTTCAGCTCCTTGGTTATTTGATCAAGTACTTTGAATGTTATTTGGTATAGTGGGACCGGCTGGTAATTTAAAGCCTCGTACACAGCCTTTTTGGTGTTAGGCTTAAGGCGTATCAACCGCTGGTGTTATCAAAGGACTCCATAATTGCTTTCTAACTAGCAAATATTCTTTTGCCTTAGTAATGGTTCAGGTTTAATTTAAACTAAAGCAAAATATGAGTATTTAGATTTTAGTTTTAGATTTTTTATTCAGGTAAAGATACATACATTGAGGATGAGTTGCAAACATAATGTTGGATTTAAAGAATGAGCTAGTACATATGCATAGCGTTTTGGGCAAGGTGAGGGGGGGGGGCGAAACAGACTAAAACTTAATAGTAATTGAGCTTAAAGTATAAATTGTGTTGACAAAAATAAAAAATAAAAAAGGGGGGAACACGCAGAAAATAGCAATTATACAAGTTGGTCAACAAACAGCATTGTTTAAATATAACAGATATGGGTTGACATTATAGGGGTAAGGTAGGTTACTTGGAGTTAATTAGGTAGTGCTTAGTTTGTATCTTAAACTGGTTGAGAGAGGTACAGTCTTTAACGTGATTGGGAAGGTCATTCCACATTCTGGGTCCCTTGATTTGTAGAGCATTTCTAGTTTGATTAAGTCGTACTCTTGGAATATCAAAACTGTATTTGTTTCTGGTGTGGTGCTCATGGGTTCTGTTACAACCTTTTAGGAAGCTTTTAAGGTCAGGATTGGCATTACAGTTCAGAGTTTTAAATATATAGAGTACACAAGAAAGGATATGCAGTGACTTAATATCTAACATATTCAGAGATTTGAGTAAGAGTACCGAGCGCTGTCTGGGGCCAGAGTTGGATATTGTCCTAATAGCAGCTTTGTGTTGAGTAATTAGAGGACGTAAATGATTTTGGGTAATAGAACCCCAAGCACAAATACCATAGTTGAGATAAGGATAGATGAGGGAGTAATAGAGAGTCACCAGGGCAGGGCGGGGTACATAATATCTGATCTTAGAAAGAATGCCAACAGTTTTAGAAACTTTTTTTGCTATATTTAGAATGTATCCCTGGAAATTCAGCTTGTTATCGATGAGGACATCAAGGAATTTACCATCTACTTTGTTACTAATTTGTATATTGTTTATTCTTAGATTAATTTCATTAGAGGATTTATTACCAAACAAAATATAGAAAGTTTTGTCAACGTTAAGGGTGAGTTTGTTAGCAGTTAGCCAAAGATGGACTTTATATAATTCAGTATTTACTATGACATTAAGAGCAAGAGGTTAAGGACTGGAGTAAATGAAGGTTGTGTCGTCAGCAAATAAGATTGGTTTGAGGTGTTGGGAGGCATTTGGAAGGTCATTAATGTAAATGAGAAAGAGGAGAGGGCCAAGTATGCTGCCCTGAGGAACACCGATGTTGATGGGTAGTGTAGGAGAAATGGAATTATTCACAGAAACATACTGGAGCCTGTCAGTAAGGTAAGACTGAAGGTATTGTTGGGAGTGGCCTCTGACTCCATAATGTTGTAATTTAAGAAGAAGGTTTTGGTGGTTGACAGTGTCAAAAGCCTTACGCAGGTCCACAAATAAGCCAACAGGAAACTCATTTTTATCAAGAGCTGCGTGTATCAAGTTAATCATACTAATAAGTGCATCGTTAGTGCTTTTATTGGGTCTGAAACCATATTGGCAAGAGCTAAGTATATTGTGCTTGGTTAGATAAGAGTAAAGCTGCTTGTAGATTAGCTTATCAAATTTTTTTACAAGATTGGTAGAATTGATATAGGTCTGTAATTGTTGATATCAGTGAGATCACCACATTTGTGGACTGGGGTTACTCTCGCTTTTTAGAATATCTGGAAAAGTTTGGAGTTCAAGTGACTTGTTGAAGAGCAATGCAATGGCAGGACCTAGAAATCTGGAGGCTTTTTTGTAAATTAGAGATGGTATCTCAACAAGGGCGCTTGACTTAGTTTTAAGGTAAAGGATTACCTCATTAACATCAGAGGAGTTAGGTACAGAGACTTTGGATAGTTACCTGTAAGGTAGTCTTTAATATTAGTGAGGGAGGATGGAATATCATGAGCAAGGGATGTACCAATGGTTGAAAAGAACCTATTGAATTCAATAGCAGTGTCAGAGGCTGAAAGCACACCATCGTCATTGGATAGGATAATTGTTTTTTTATTCAAAATCTTTTTTAATCCCAATATTTGGGAAATAGGCTTCGTGTTTTCTTAATGTTGCCCTTAATTTGGGCGAATTTATTTTCGTAGTATTTTATTTTGGGTCTTCTAATTATTTTAGACAGCATTGATGAGTAAATCTTTGAAAATTCTTTGGAGAAGACTCCTAACCTATACTTCTTCTCAAGGTCATGTTTTTATTAATATATTTAAGTATCCCCTTTGTAAGCCATGGAGTGTTTAACCTTTTATTTGTGACTTGTTTCGTTAGTATAGGCCAGTGGGAGTTATAATGGCTCAGAGATTTCTGAAGAAATGTTTGCACTGCTGGGTTGATGTTCACTATGTTACATAATTCAGTCTTCCAGTTGACATTAGCAGCAGCAGCAGTAAAGTTGCTTATAGAAGTTTCATTGTGTAGCCTAAAGCTTATCTTCCTTATATCAAGTTCAAGTTCAAGCTCAAGTATGTTTATTGAGATAAGCAATAAATACATCTCAAAGGGATAGAGTAGCTTAGGCTATTTCTACCCCCCCTTCCATGTATCTAGAGGTGGTTTGCTAATGTTGGTTTGATGTCCCCAGAGTCAGGTTAAATCTGTGCAAACACTTCATGTAAATATAAGATGACAGTCTATGGAACTCACTCCCTGATAAATTAAACAATTGTCCAATCTATACCTTATTCAAAAATCAAACCAAAACGCACCTAATTTAACCCTCATAGTTTCCTACCTTGTGCTTCAAACTCTGTAACTTCTCCAATATTAGTACTTAAGACATATATCTTCACCACTGTAATCAACTCTCAATTTATATTGTAGTTATATGTTGATATAAAATTTTGCTACAGTGTGCCTTTTCGTGGTGTGGATATAATGTACCCACCTCACGACTACCAAGTTAATAGCTGCAACATTACAGCGGATTGATGAAAAAAAGGACTTTGGAGTCAAAATTCACGACTCAATGAAAGTTTCACTGGTAGGTGCAGCAGTGAAAAAAAAACTTGAAATAATCAAGCGTACCTTTGACTTTAAGGAAAATAAGGTATAGTGATTCCGTTATATAAATCTCTGGTGCGCCCCCATTTGAATTACTGTTTACAAGAATGGCGACTTTATCTTCAGAAGAACATAGCTGCTCTGGAGAAAGTGCATAACCGGGCAACAAAAGTCATTCCAGAGCTAAGTCATCTCTCATATCAGGAACGGTGGAGGGCCACAGGGCTGACAACAGCAAACCAGACATAACAGGACGGATCCTATTGAAACTTTTAAAATACTGAAGAATTTGGAAGATGTTGATTCGGACAATTTCTTGAAAAGATCAGATGTAACACAAACATGGAGCAACGGGTTCAAGCTCAACAAGCCACAATGTAGGACTGAGAACGGAAGATGCTTTTT